TTAATTTAGTTTTAATTGGTTTTTAAGGAAATTAATTCGGTTTTAATCGACTTTAATTGGTTTTTAAGAGAATTAATTTAGTTTTAATTGCTTTAATTGGTTTTAATTGGTTTTTATCGGAATTAATTTCACTTTAATTGGCATTTTAGATAATTAATTTAGATTTAATTGGTTTTAATCAGTTTTAATTGATTTTTATTGGAATTAATTCCATTTTAATTGCTTTTAATTGGTTTTTAAGGTAATTAATTCCATTATAATCAGTTTTAGTTAATTTTTAAGGTAATTAATTCTGTTTTAATCGCTTTTAATTGGCTCTTAAGGTAATTAATTCAATTTTAATCAGTTTTAATTAGTTTTTAAGGTAATTAATTCAGTTTTAATTGTTTTTTATCGATTTTTAAGGGAACTAATTAAGTTTTCAGTTTTAATTGGTTTTAATCAGTTTTTACAATAATTAATTCAGTTTTAATCGGTTTTAATTGGTTTTTAAGGTAATTAATTCAGTTTTAATTGGTTTTTAAGGGAATTAATTTCATTTTAATTGGTTTTTAAGATAATTAATTCACTTTTAATCGGCTTTAATTGGTTTTTAAGGGAATTAATTCAGTTTTAATTGGTTTTAATCGGTTTAAATTGGTTTTTAAGATAATTAATTCACTTTTAATCGGCTTTTATTGGTCTTAAGGGAATTAATTGAGTTTTAATGAGTTTTAATTGGTCTTAATTGGTTTTTACGATAATTAATTCACTTTTAATTGGTTTTAATTGGTTTTTAAGGGAATTAATTTTGTTTTAATCGATTTTAATTGATTTTAATTGGGTTTTATGATAATTAATTCACTTTTAATTGGCTTTAATTGGTTTTTAAGGCTGGTCCGGACTGGTTTTAACTGGTTTTTACTGGTTTTTAACTGGTTTTACTGGTTTATACTGGGTTTTAACTGGTTTTTACTGGTTTTACTGGTTTTTACTGGTTTTACTGGTTTGTACTGGTTTATACTGGTTTTTACTGGGTTTTACGGGGTTATACTGGTTTTTACTGGTTTATACTGGTTCTTACTGGTCCATACTGGTTTTTACTGGTTTTTACTGGTTTTTACTGGTTTTTAACTGGTTTTTAACTGGTTTTTACTGGTTTTTACTGGTCCAAATTGGTTTTTATTGGTCCGGACTGGTTTTTATTAGTCCGGACTGGTTTTTACTGGTTTATACTGGTCCAGACTGGTCCATACTGGTTTTTACTGGTTTTTAACTGGTTTTACTGGTTTATACTGGTTTATACTGGTTTTTATTGTTCCGGACTGGTTTTTACTGGTTTTTATTGGTCCGGACTGGTTTTTAGTGGTCTATACTGGTCCAGACTGGTCCATACTGGTTTTTACTGGTTTTTAACTGGTTTTACTGGTTTATACTGGTTTATACTGGTTTTTATTGGTCTGGACTGGTTTTTACTGGTCCGTACTGGTTTATACTGGTTTTTTTGGTCCGGACTGGTTTTTACTGGTTTTTACTGGTTTTTGGTGGTCCATACTGGTTTTTACTGGTCTGTACTGGTTTTTACTGGTCTATACTGGGTTTTACTGGTTTGGACTGGTTTGTACTGGTTTTTACTGGTTTGGACTGGTCTGTACTGGTTTGTACTGGTTTTTACTGGTCCATACTGGTTTGGACTGGTCCATACTGGTTTATACTGGTCCATACTGGTAGAGCTGGGGCAGCTCTGGGTGCTGGTACTGGTTTGTACTGGTTTGTACTGGTTTGTACTGGTCTGGACTGGTTTTTACTGGTCTGTACTGGTTTGTACTGGTCCATACTGGTTTGGACTGGTCTGTACTGGTTTTTACTGGTTTGTACTGGTCCATACTGGTTTGGACTGGTCCATACTGGTTTGGACTGGTCCATACTGGTCTGTACTGGTTTGTACTGGTTTGTACTGGTTTGGACTGGTTTGTACTGGTTTGTACTGGTTTTTACTGGTTTGTACTGGTCCATACTGGTTTGGACTGGTCTGTACTGGTTTGGACTGGTCCATACTGGTTTTTACTGGTCTATACTGGTAGAGCTGGGGCAGCTGCCGGTACTGGTTTGGACTGGTCTGGACTGGTTTGGACTGGTTTTTACTGGTCCATACTGGTTTGTACTGGTTTGTACTGGTTTTTACTGGTTTGTACTGGTCCATACTGGTTTATACTGGTCTATACTGGTAGAGCTGGGGCAGCTGCAGGTGCCGGTACTGGTTTGGACTGGTCCATACTGGTTTATACTGGTTTGGACTGGTCTGTACTGGTCGAGCTGGGGTGGCTGAGGGTGCCGGTACTGGTTTTTACTGGTTTGTACTGGTCCATACTGGTTTGTACTGGTCCATACTGGTTTGTACTGGTCTATACTGGTCTGTACTGGTCCATACTGGTTTTTACTGGTCTATACTGGTCGAGCTGGGGCAGCTGAGGGTGCCGGTACTGGTCTGTACTGGTTTGTACTGGTTTGGACTGGTCTGGACTGGTTTGGACTGGTCTGTACTGGTTTTTACTGGTTTGGACTGGTTTGGACTGGTTTGGACTGGTTTGTACTGGTTTATACTGGTTTGGACTGGTTTGGACTGGTTTGGACTGGTCCTTACTGGTCTGGACTGGTTTTTACTGGTTTGGACTGGTTTGGACTGGTTTGTACTGGTTTATACTGGTTTGGACTGGTTTGGACTGGTTTGGACTGGTCCCAGCTCATTCTGGTCCCATACTGGTCTGGACTGGTCTGAACTGGTTTGAACTGGGACCAGAACCCCAAAACCGGCAAAAATTGGGAATTTTCACCCCAAAATTGGGAATTTTGACCCCAAAATTGGGAATTTTCACCCCTAAATTGGGAATTTTTACCAAAAATTGGGAATTTTTACCACAAAATTGGGAATTTTGACCAAAAATTGGGAATTTTCCCCCAAAATCTGGAATTTTGACCGAAAATTGGGAATTTTCACCCCAAAATTGAATATTTTCCCCCAAAATTGGGATTTTTGACCAAAAATTGGGAATTTCCCACCAAAATTGGGAATTTTGACCCCAAAATTGGGAATTTTGACCAAAAATTGGGAATTTTCACCCCAAAATTGGGAATTTTCATCCCAAAATTGGGAATTTTCAACCCAAAATTGGGAATTTTCACCCTAAAATCAGGAATTTGGACCAAAAATTGGGAATTTTCACCCCAAAATGGGATTTTTGACCAAAAATTGGGAATTTCCCACCAAAAATTGGGAATTTTCACCCAAAAATCAGGAATTTGGACCAAAAATTGGGAATTTTTACCCAAAAATTGTGAATTTTGATCAAAATTTGGGAATTTTCACCCCAAAATTTGGAATTTTGACCAAAAATTGGGAATTTTCACCCTAAAATTGGGAATTTTGACGCAAAAATTGGGAATTTTGACCAAAATTGGGAATCTCCCACCAAAAATGGAATTTTGGACCAAAAATTGGGAATTTCCAACCAAAAATTGGATTTTTGACCGAAAATTGGGAATTTCCCACCAAAAATGGGAATTTTGACGCCAAAATTGGGAATTTTCACCCCAAAATTGGGAATTTTGACAAAAATTGGGAATTTTGACAAAAAATTGGGAATTTTTAACTTAAAAATGGAGAATTTTTGACCAAAAATTGGGAATTCCCACCAAAAATTGGATTTTTGACTGAAAATTGGGAATTTCCCACCAAAAATTGGGAATTTTGACCAAAATTGGGAATTTTCACCCCAAAATCAGGAATTTTGACCAAAAATTGGGAATTTCCCACCAAAATTGGGAATTTTCACCCCAAAATAGGGATTTTTTTCCAAAAATTGGGAATTTTGACCCCAAAATTGGGAATTTTGACCAAAAATTGGGAATTTTTACCCCAAAATCGGGAATTTTGACCAAAAATTGGGAATTTCCCACCAAAAATGGGATTTTTAACCAAAAATCGGGGATTTTCCACCAAAAAATGGGAATTTTGACTCTAAAAAATGGGAAATTTGATGAGATTTTAGATTTCCCCCCAAAATTTAGGAATTTTCACCAAAAAAGGGAATTTGGACAAAAATTTGGGAATTTGGATCAAAAATTGGGAATTTTGAACCAAAACCTGGGAATTCCCACCCAAAATCGGGAATTTTCCACCCAAAAAATGGGGAAATTGGCCAAAAAATTGGAGTTTCCCCAAAATTGGAGAATTTTGACCCCAAAAATGGGAATTTTGACCCAAATGTTTGAATTTTCCACCAAAAAAAGGGAATTTTTCACCAAAAAAAGGGAATTTTGACCAATATTTGGGAATTTTTTGCATTGAATTTTTACTGAATTTTTTTTTCCTGAATTTCTGCTGGAATTTTCCCAGATTTTTGGTGGAATTTTGGTGGAATTTTTTGCCAAATTTCCACCGAATTTCCGTGAAATTTTAATGGAATTTTCATGGAATTTTTGCTGAATTTCCACCGGATTTTTGGTGACATTTTAATTGAATTTTAATGGGAATTTTCCCAAGTTTTGGGTGGAATTTTCACGGATTTTTGATGGAATTTCGGTGGAATTTCACAGGAATTTTGGCAGAAATTAATGTGGAATTTTTTTTTCCAAATTTCCACTGGAATTTTCATGGAATTTTTCCTGAATTTCCACCAAAAATTTTCGTGACATTTTAATGGAATTTTCATGGAATTTTTGCTGAATTTCCATGAAATTCTCATGGAATTTTCATGGAATTTTTGCTGAATTTCCATGAAATTCTCATGGAATTTTCATGGAATTTTTGCCAAATTTCCACCAAAAATTTTCACTGAATTTTGGTCAAATTTCCACCGAATTTCGACCGAATTTCCTCTTTTCTCAACCAAAATTTCACGTATTTCGGCCAAATTTTCGCGTATTTCGGCCAAATTTTCGCCTTTTTTAATGGAATTTTCACATTTTTTCACCGATTTTGCCCAAATTTTGACTTTTAAAACCGAATTTTTCTGTTTTAGCCACCGCCCGCGCCCCGGAGCTGTTCCCGCTGTCGCCGTGCGGCGCCGACTCGGCGCGTTTCTCCGTCGGCTGCGTCGCCGTCGGATTTTTCCCGGCGCCGTTGGAGCTGAGCTGGAGCGACGTCGGGAACCGAAGCGCCGCCGGCGCCGCGTTCCCGCCGGTGCCGCGTTCCGGAACTTTCCTGAGGGCGTCGCGCCTCGGGATGGAGCCGGAGGAGGGGAAATCCCGACAGCCGTTCCGGTGTTGGGCCCGGCACGGCCGCGGCGGCCGCAGCGTTGAGGTTTCCAACCCAGGTGGGGATTGGGGAGAATTGGGGGGAAAATGGTGAAAAATGGGTCAGAAAAATGGGGTAAATGTGGTAAAAAATTGAGGAAAAAATGGCGCAAAAAATGACCCAAATATGGCAAAAAATGGCACAAAAAATGACCCAAATATGTCAAAAAATGGCGCAAAAAATGACCCAAAAAATGACCCAAATATGGTAAAAGATGGAGGAAAATACGTCCCAAAAAAATGACCCAAATGTGGCAAAAAATGGCGTAAAAAGTGGCACAAAAAGCGGTGCAAAAAATGACCCAAATGTGGTAAAAAATGGCGCAAGAAATGGCCCAAAGATGGCAAAAAAATGGCCCAAAAAATGTCCCAAATAATGACACAAAAACCAAAAAATTGGCACAAAAAATGTCCCAAATGTGGCAAAAAATGGCGCAAAAGAATGAGCCAAATGTGGTAAAAAATGGGCCAAATATGGTAAAAAATGGAGGAAAAAAATGGAGCAAAAAAATGAGACAAATGTGGGAAAAATGGAGCAAAAAATAGTCCAAATATGGCAAAAAATGGCACAAAAAATGTTCCCAAAAAAATGACCCAAATGTGGCAAAAAATGGGCCAAATATGGTAAAAAATGGAGGAGAAAATGGAGCAAAAAAATGAGCCAAATGTGGCCAAAACTGGCGCAAAAAATGGGGCAAATGTGGCAAAAAATGGCGCAAAAAATGTCCCAAAAAAGTCCCAAATATGGCAAAAAATGGTGCAAAAAATGTCCCAAAAATGACCCAAATGTGGCAAAAAAAGGCCCAAAAAATTGCCCAAATGTGGCAAAAAATGGCGCAAAAAATGGTGCAAAAAATGACCCAAATATGGCAAAAAATGGCCCAAAAATGACCCAAATGTGGCACAAACGGCTCCCGGCGCCGCGTTCCCGGCGGTGCCGCGTTCCGGAACTTTCCTGAGGGCGTCGCGCCTCGGGATGGAGCCGGAGGAGGGGAAATCCCGACAGCCGTTCCGGTGTTGGGCCCGGCACGGCCGCGGCGGCCGCAGCGTTGAGGTTTCCAACCCAGGTGGGAATTGGGGGGAAAATGGAGAAAAATGGTGAAAAATGTGGCCAAATAGGTGAAAAAATGGGGAAAATGTGGTAAAAAATGGAGGAAAAAATGGGGCAAAAAAATGAGCCAAATGTGGGAAAAAATGGAGCAAAAAATAGTCCAAATATGGCAAAACATGGCGGAAAAAATGTCCCAAAAAAAATGACCCAAAAAAAAGACCCAAATGTGGCAAAAAATGGTGCAAAAAATGGCACAAAAAATGTCCCAGAAAATGTCCCAAAAAATGACCCAAGTGTGGCAAAAAATGGCAGAAAAAATGTCCCAAAGAAATGGCGTAAATATGGCAAAAAAATGGCACAAAAATTGGGCCAAATATGGCAAAAAATGGCCCAAAAAATGGCCCAAAAAATGACCAAAAAAATGGCCCAAATAATGACCCAAATACCACAAAAAATGGCCCAAATAATGACCCAAATGTGGCAAAAATGGCTCAAAAAATGGTGCAAAAAATGACCCAAAGATGGCAAAAAAATGGCCCAAAAAATGGCCCAAATATGGCAAAAAATGGCCCAAAAATGACCCAAATGTGGCACAAACGGCTCCCGGCGCCGCGTTCCCGCCGGTGCCGCGTTCCGGAACTTTCCTGAGGGCGTCGCGCCTCGGGATGGAGCCGGAGGAGGGGAAATCCCGACAGCCGTTCCGGTGTTGGGCCCGGCACGGCCGCGGCGGCCGCAGCGTTGAGGTTTCCAACCCAGGTGGGAATTGGGCAAAATTGGGGGGAAAATGCCAAAAATAGCTCAAAAAATGGGGTTAATGTTGCAAAAAATGGTGCGAAAAATCATGAAAAAAATGACCCAAATGTGGCAAAAAAATGGGCCAAATATGGTAAAAAATGGCCCAAAAAAAGTCCCAAAAAAATGACCCAAATGTGGCAAAAAATGGCGCAAAAAATGACCAAAAAACGGCCCAATAATGACCCAAATATGACAAAAAATGGCGCAAAAAAATGATGCAAATGTGGCAAAAAATGGCGCAAAAAGAGGCACAAAAAGAGGCACAAAAAGAGGCACAAAAAATGTCCCAAAAATGACCCAAATATGGCAAAAAATGGCCCAAAAAATGGCCCAAATGTGGCAAAAAATGTCCCAAAAAATGGCACAAAAAATGTCCCAAAAATGACCCAAATGTGACAAAAAATGGCGCAAGAAATGTCACAAAAAATGTCACAAAAAATGTCCCAAAAATGACCCAAAAAGCCCAAAAAATGGCCCAAAAAGTGACCCAAATGTGGCAAAAAATGTCCCCAAAAATGTCCCAAAAAGTGACCCAAATGTGGCAAAAAATGGCCCAAAAAATATCCCAATAATGACCCAAATAGCCCAAAAAACGGTGCAAAAAATGTCACCAAATTAAGACTTAAAAAGCCAAAAAATGACCAAAAAAATGGCCCAAATAATCACCCAAATAGCCAAAAAATGGCACAAAAAATGTCACCCAAAAATGACCTAAATGTGGCAAAAAATGGCGCAAAAAATGTCCCCAATAATGACCCAAAAAGCGGCCCAAAAAATGACAAAAAAAATGTCCCAAATAATGACCCAAATGTGGTAAAAAATGGAGCAAAAAATGACCCAAAGATGGCAAAAAAATGTCCCAAAAATGACCCAAATGTGGTAAAAAATGGCCCAAAAAAGTCCCAAATATGGCAAAAAATGGCCCAAAAATGACCCAAATGTGGCACAAACGGCTCCCGGCGCCGCGTTCCCGGCGGTGCCGCGTTCCGGAACTTTCCTGAGGGCGTCGCGCCTCGGGATGGAGCCGGAGGAGGGGAAATCCCGACAGCCGTTCCGGTGTTGGGCCCGGCACGGCCGCGGCGGCCGCAGCGTTGAGGTGTCCAACCCAGGTGGGAATTGGGGAGAATTGGGGGGAAAATGAGGAAAAATGGGTCCGAAAAATGGGGAAAATGTGGTAAAAAATGGTGTGAGAAAGGGGGAAAATGTGGTAAAAAATGGAGGAAAAAATGGCGCAAAAAATGAGCCAAATGTGGCAAAAAATGGCCCAAAAAATGGGGCAAATGTGGTAAAAAATGGAGCAAAAAATGGGCCAAATGTGGTAGAAAATGGCGCAAAAAGTGACCAAAAAAATGGCCCAAATAATGACCCAAATATGGCAAGAAATGGCGCAAAAAAATGGCCCAAAAAATGGCCCAAATGTGGCAAAAGATGGAGGAAAAAATGGAGCAAAAAAAATGACCCAAATGTGCGAAAAATGGAACAAAAAATGCCCCAAATATGGCAAAACATGGCGCAAAAAATGTCACAAAAAAATGACCCAAATGTGGCAAAAAATGGCACAAAAAAGGCGCAAAAAATGGCGCAAGAAATGTCCCAAAAAATGACCCAAATAGCCCAAAAAATGGCCCAAATGTGGCAAAAAATGGCCCAAAAAAAGACCAAAAAAATGGCCCAAATATGGCCAAAAAGTTGCTCAAATGTGGCAAAAAATGGCCCAAAAAATGACCAAAAAATGGCCCAAAAATATGACACAAATAGCCCAAAAAATGTCCCCAAATAATGACCCAAATAGCCCAAAAAATGGCCCAAAAAATGACCCAAAGATGGCAAAAAATGGCGCAAAAAATGACCCAAAAAATGACCCAAATATGGTAAAAGATGGAGGAAAATACGTCCCAAAAAAATGACCCAAATGTGGCAAAAAATGGCGTAAAAAGTGGCACAAAAAGCGGTGCAAAAAATGACCCAAATGTGGTAAAAAATGGCGCAAGAAATGGCCCAAAGATGGCAAAAAAATGGCCCAAAAAATGTCCCAAATAATGACACAAAAACCAAAAAATTGGCACAAAAAATGTCCCAAATGTGGCAAAAAATGGCGCAAAAGAATGAGCCAAATGTGGTAAAAAATGGGCCAAATATGGTAAAAAATGGAGGAAAAAAATGGAGCAAAAAAATGAGACAAATGTGGGAAAAATGGAGCAAAAAATAGTCCAAATATGGCAAAAAATGGCACAAAAAATGTTCCCAAAAAAATGACCCAAATGTGGCAAAAAATGGGCCAAATATGGTAAAAAATGGAGGAGAAAATGGAGCAAAAAAATGAGCCAAATGTGGCCAAAACTGGCGCAAAAAATGGGGCAAATGTGGCAAAAAATGGCGCAAAAAATGTCCCAAAAAAGTCCCAAATATGGCAAAAAATGGTGCAAAAAATGTCCCAAAAATGACCCAAATGTGGCAAAAAAAGGCCCAAAAAATTGCCCAAATGTGGCAAAAAATGGCGCAAAAAATGGTGCAAAAAATGACCCAAATATGGCAAAAAATGGCCCAAAAATGACCCAAATGTGGCACAAACGGCTCCCGGCGCCGCGTTCCCGGCGGTGCCGCGTTCCGGAACTTTCCTGAGGGCGTCGCGCCTCGGGATGGAGCCGGAGGAGGGGAAATCCCGACAGCCGTTCCGGTGTTGGGCCCGGCACGGCCGCGGCGGCCGCAGCGTTGAGGTTTCCAACCCAGGTGGGAATTGGGGGGAAAATGGAGAAAAATGGTGAAAAATGTGGCCAAATAGGTGAAAAAATGGGGAAAATGTGGTAAAAAATGGAGGAAAAAATGGGGCAAAAAAATGAGCCAAATGTGGGAAAAAATGGAGCAAAAAATAGTCCAAATATGGCAAAACATGGCGGAAAAAATGTCCCAAAAAAAATGACCCAAAAAAAAGACCCAAATGTGGCAAAAAATGGTGCAAAAAATGGCACAAAAAATGTCCCAGAAAATGTCCCAAAAAATGACCCAAGTGTGGCAAAAAATGGCAGAAAAAATGTCCCAAAGAAATGGCGTAAATATGGCAAAAAAATGGCACAAAAATTGGGCCAAATATGGCAAAAAATGGCCCAAAAAATGGCCCAAAAAATGACCAAAAAAATGGCCCAAATAATGACCCAAATACCACAAAAAATGGCCCAAATAATGACCCAAATGTGGCAAAAATGGCTCAAAAAATGGTGCAAAAAATGACCCAAAGATGGCAAAAAAATGGCCCAAAAAATGGCCCAAATATGGCAAAAAATGGCCCAAAAATGACCCAAATGTGGCACAAACGGCTCCCGGCGCCGCGTTCCCGGCGGTGCCGCGTTCCGGAACTTTCCTGAGGGCGTCGCGCCTCGGGATGGAGCCGGAGGAGGGGAAATCCCGACAGCCGTTCCGGTGTTGGGCCCGGCACGGCCGCGGCGGCCGCAGCGTTGAGGTTTCCAACCCAGGTGGGAATTGGGCAAAATTGGGGGGAAAATGCCAAAAATAGCTCAAAAAATGGGGTTAATGTTGCAAAAAATGGTGCGAAAAATCATGAAAAAAATGACCCAAATGTGGCAAAAAAATGGGCCAAATATGGTAAAAAATGGCCCAAAAAAAGTCCCAAAAAAATGACCCAAATGTGGCAAAAAATGGCGCAAAAAATGACCAAAAAACGGCCCAATAATGACCCAAATATGACAAAAAATGGCGCAAAAAAATGATGCAAATGTGGCAAAAAATGGCGCAAAAAGAGGCACAAAAAGAGGCACAAAAAGAGGCACAAAAAATGTCCCAAAAATGACCCAAATATGGCAAAAAATGGCCCAAAAAATGGCCCAAATGTGGCAAAAAATGTCCCAAAAAATGGCACAAAAAATGTCCCAAAAATGACCCAAATGTGACAAAAAATGGCGCAAGAAATGTCACAAAAAATGTCACAAAAAATGTCCCAAAAATGACCCAAAAAGCCCAAAAAATGGCCCAAAAAGTGACCCAAATGTGGCAAAAAATGTCCCCAAAAATGTCCCAAAAAGTGACCCAAATGTGGCAAAAAATGGCCCAAAAAATATCCCAATAATGACCCAAATAGCCCAAAAAACGGTGCAAAAAATGTCACCAAATTAAGACTTAAAAAGCCAAAAAATGACCAAAAAAATGGCCCAAATAATCACCCAAATAGCCAAAAAATGGCACAAAAAATGTCACCCAAAAATGACCTAAATGTGGCAAAAAATGGCGCAAAAAATGTCCCCAATAATGACCCAAAAAGCGGCCCAAAAAATGACAAAAAAAAATGTCCCAAATAATGACCCAAATGTGGTAAAAAATGGAGCAAAAAATGACCCAAAGATGGCAAAAAAATGTCCCAAAAATGACCCAAATGTGGTAAAAAATGGCCCAAAAAAGTCCCAAATATGGCAAAAAATGGCCCAAAAATGACCCAAATGTGGCACAAACGGCTCCCGGCGCCGCGTTCCCGGCGGTGCCGCGTTCCGGAACTTTCCTGAGGGCGTCGCGCCTCGGGATGGAGCCGGAGGAGGGGAAATCCCGACAGCCGTTCCGGTGTTGGGCCCGGCACGGCCGCGGCGGCCGCAGCGTTGAGGTGTCCAACCCAGGTGGGAATTGGGGAGAATTGGGGGGAAAATGAGGAAAAATGGGTCCGAAAAATGGGGAAAATGTGGTAAAAAATGGTGTGAGAAAGGGGGAAAATGTGGTAAAAAATGGAGGAAAAAATGGCGCAAAAAATGAGCCAAATGTGGCAAAAAATGGCCCAAAAAATGGGGCAAATGTGGTAAAAAATGGAGCAAAAAATGGGCCAAATGTGGTAGAAAATGGCGCAAAAAGTGACCAAAAAAATGGCCCAAATAATGACCCAAATATGGCAAGAAATGGCGCAAAAAAATGGCCCAAAAAATGGCCCAAATGTGGCAAAAGATGGAGGAAAAAATGGAGCAAAAAAAATGACCCAAATGTGCGAAAAATGGAACAAAAAATGCCCCAAATATGGCAAAACATGGCGCAAAAAATGTCACAAAAAAATGACCCAAATGTGGCAAAAAATGGCACAAAAAAGGCGCAAAAAATGGCGCAAGAAATGTCCCAAAAAATGACCCAAATAGCCCAAAAAATGGCCCAAATGTGGCAAAAAATGGCCCAAAAAAAGACCAAAAAAATGGCCCAAATATGGCCAAAAAGTTGCTCAAATGTGGCAAAAAATGGCCCAAAAAATGACCAAAAAATGGCCCAAAAATATGACACAAATAGCCCAAAAAATGTCCCCAAATAATGACCCAAATAGCCCAAAAAATGGCCCAAAAAATGACCCAAAGATGGCAAAAAAATGGCCCAAATATGGCAAAAAATGGCGCCAAAAAAATGAGCCAAATACGGCAAAAAATGGCCCAAAAAATGACCCACAATATGGCAAAAAATGGCAGAAAAAATGGCCCAAATATGGCAAAAAACGGCCCAAAAAATGGCCCAAAAAAGACCCAAATATGGAAAAAAATGGCAGAAAAAATGTCCCAAATATGGCAAAAAATGGCGCAGAAAGTGTCCCCAAAAAATGTCCCAAATGTGGCAAAAAATGGTGCAAAAAAGGTCCCAAATAATGACCCAAATAGCCAAAAAAATGGCCCAAAAAAGACCCAAATATGGCAAAAAATGGCCCAAAAATGACCCAAATGTGGCACAAACGGCTCCCGGCGCCGCGTTGCCGCCGGTGCCGCGTTCCGGAACTTTCCTGAGGGCGTCGCGCCTCGGGATGGAGCCGGAGGAGGGGAAATCCCGACAGCCGTTCCGGTGCTGGGCCCGGCACGGCCGCGGCGGCCGCAGCGTTGAGGTTTCCAACCCAGGTGGGGATTGGGGCAAAAATGCCAAAAATGGGCTCAAAAATTTGGCCAAATAGGTGAAAAAATGGGGTAAATGTGGTAAAAAATGGAGCAAAAAATGGAGCAAAAAATGACCCAAATGTGGCAAAAAATGGGGCAAATATGGTAAAAAATGGCGAAAAAAAATGGCCCAAATATGGCAAAAATGGCACAAAAAAGGCGCAAAAAATGGCGCAAAAAATGTCCCAAAAAATGACTCAAATGTGGCAAAAAATGGCCCAAAAAAAGACCCAAATAATGACCCAAAAAGCCAAAAAAATGGCCCCAAAAATGGCGCCAATAATGATGCAAATGGCCCAAAAAATGGCCCAAAGAATGTCCCAAATATGGCAAAAAATGGCGCAAAAAAATGACCCAAATGTCCCAAAAAATGGTGCAAAAAATGAGCCAAATGTGACAAAAAATGGCGCAAGAAATGGCGCAAAAAATGTCCCAAAAATGACCCAAAGGTGGCAAAAAATGGCGAAAAAAATGTCCCAAAAAATGGCCCAAATATGGCCAAAAAATTGCCCAAATGTGGCAAAAAATGGCCCAAAAAAAGACCAAAAAAATGGCCCAAAAATGACCCAAATATGGCAAAAAATGGCCCAAAAAATGGCGCAAAAAATGACCCAAATAACCAAAAAATGGCCCAAAAAATGACGAAAAAATGTCCCAAATAATGACCCAAATGTGGCAAAAAATGGCGCAAAAAATGACCCAAGATGGCAAAAAAATGGCCCAAAAAATGGCCCAAATATGGCAAAAAATGGTGCAAAAAATGTCCCAAGAAATGACCCAAATATGGCAAAAAACGGCCCAAAAATGACCCAAATGTGGCACAAACGGCTCCCGGCGCCGCGTTCCCGGCGGTGCCGCGTTCCGGAACTTTCCTGAGGGCGTCGCGCCTCGGGATGGAGCCGGAGGAGGGGAAATCCCGACAGCCGTTCCGGTGTTGGGCCCGGCACGGCCGCGGCGGCCGCAGCGTTGAGGTTTCCAACCCAGGTGGGGATTGGGGCAAAAATGCCAAAAATGGGCTCGAAAAATGGGGTTAATGTTGTAAAAAATGGTGCGAAAAATCATGAAAAAAATGACCCAAATGTGGCAAAAAAATGGCCCAAAAAATGGGTCAAATATGGCAAAAAATGGCTCAAAAAATGTCCCAAATAATGACCCAAATGTGGCAAAAAATGGCGCAAAAAATGACAAAAAAAATGGCCCAATAATGACCCAAATATGACAAAAAATGGTGCAAAAAAATGGGGCAAATGTGGCAAAAAATGGCACAAAAAATGGCGCAAAGTATGTCCCAAAAAATGATCCAAATAGCCCAAAAAATGGCTGAAGAAATGACCCAAATGTGGCAAAAAATGGCGCAAAAAATGTTCCAAATAATGACTCAAATGTGGCAAAAAATGGCACAAAAAATGGTGCAAAAAACAGCCCATATAATGACCCAAATGTGGTAAAAAATGGCCCAAAAAATGGCCCAAATAATGACAGAAATAATAAAAAATTGGCACTAAAAATGTCCCAAATATGGCAAAAAATGGTGCAAAAAATGTCCCAAAAATGACCCAAATGTGGCAAAAAATCGCCCAAAAATTGTCCCAAAAAATGACCCAAATGGCGCAAAAAATGGTGCAAAAAGTGTCCCAAAAAAGTCCCAAATATGGCAAAAAATGGCCCAAAAATGACCCAAATGTGGCACAAACGGCTCCCGGCGCCGCGTTCCCGGCGGTGCCGCGTTCTGGAACTTTCCTGAGGGCGTCGCGCCTCGGGATGGAGCCGGAGGAGGGGAAATCCCGACAGCCGTTCCGGTGTTGGGCCCGGCACGGCCGCGGCGGCCGCAGCGTTGAGGTGTCCAACCCAGGTGGGGATTGGGGGCAAAATGCCAAAAATGGGCTCAAAAATTTGGCCAAATAGGTGAAAAAATGGGGGAAATATGGTAAAAGATGGGGGAAAAAATGGAGCAAAAAATGAGCCAAATGTGGCAAAAAATGGGCCAAATATGGTAAAAAATGGAGGAAAATATGTCCCAAAAAAAGACCCAAATGTGGCAAAAAATGGCGCAAAAAGTGGCACAAAAAGTGGTGCAAAAAATGACCCAAATGTGGTAAAAAATGGCGCAAGAAATGGCCCAAAGATGGCAAAAAAATGGCCCAAAAAATGTCCCAAATAATGACACAAAAAACAAAAAATTGGCACAAAAAATGTCCCAAATGTGGCAAAAAATGGCGCAAAAGAATGAGCCAAATGTGGTAAAAAATGGGCCAAATATGGTAAAAAATGGAGGAAAAAAATGGAGCAAAAAATGAGCCAAATGTGGCAAAAAATGGTACAAAAAATGACCCAAATATGGCAAAACATGGCGCAAAAAATGGCACAAAAAAATGACTCAAATATGGCAAAAAATGGTGCAAAAAATGGCCCAAATAATGACTCAAATGTGGCAAAAAATGGCGTAAGAAATGGCGTAAGAAATGGCGCAAAAAATGGCCCAAAAAATGAACAAAAAGTGGCCCAAAGAATGATCCAAATGTCCCAAAAAATGCGCAAAAGATGTCCCAAATGTGCCAAAAAATGGCCCAAGAAATGTCCCAAAAAACTGACCCAAAGGTGGCAAAAAATAACGTAAAAAATGTCCCAAATAATGACCCAAATATTTCAAAAACTTTGGATTTACTCTCAAAATTCAAACTTCCCCCAAATTTTAGGATTTTCCCCCTTGAACTTTCACATTTCGCTCCAAAATCCAAATTTTAGGCATTTCCCTCCCAATTTTGGGTTTTACCCTCAAATTTTAGGATTTCCCAACAAATTTTCCCATTTTCATCCCAAAATTCGAATTTTCTCCCTGAATTTTCTCATTTTCCTCCCGAAATATGAATTTTCATCCCGAAATCCAAATTTTCATCCCAAAATCCAAATTTTCTACCCAAATTTTTCACATTTTCTCCCGGAAATTCGAATTTTTTCCCCGAATTTTCACATTTTCATCCCAAATTTCAAATTTCCCCCCCAAATTTCCACATTTCCCCCCAAAACCCCAATTTCCCCCCCAAATTTCCCCCTTTTCCCCCCCATTTCCAGGTCCCGGCACATCCGGCCCCGCGCCGCCACCGGAGCTGTCTCTCCGTCCGCCGTCCCGCGAAGACTTCCAAGGCCCCTACCGCAACTCCACCCTCCTGTGCCAAATCCGCGGCCGCCGGCGCGGCCTCGGCGCCGCCCCCATCCGCTGGTACCGCAACGGGGCCCCGGTGAGCGACGGCGTCACCGCCGAACCGCCGGCGGCCGAAAGCTCCGGCGGCGTTTTCGTGGCCGGGAGCCGCGTGGTGGTGACCGAGGCCGAGTGGGAGAGCGGCGTCGTCTTCACGTGCCGGGCCGGCGATGAGATGAGGAACACCAGCAAGGCCATGGAGTGCGGATGTGAGTTTTTTTTGGGGGGAAAATGGAGGAATTTGGGGGTTCGGCGGCGTTTCGGGGCGAAATTCCGGTGGGAGTTGAGGATTGGGTTGGGTTGAGTTGGGTTGGGTTGGGTTGGGTTGAGTTGGGATGGATTGGGTTGAGTTGAGTTCATTGAGTTGAGTTGGGTTGGGTTGGGTTGGGTTGAGTTGAGTTGGGTTGAGTTGGGTTGGGTTGGGTTGGATGAGTTGGGTTGAGTTGGGTTGAGTTGACTTGACTTGGGTCACCAACGATCGTTTTGGCCAAAAACCACCCAAAAAAACCCACCAAGACTCTTCCAGTTCACCAATCCCAACACGAATTATCATTTTGGCCAAAAACCACCCAAAAAACCCACCAAGACTCTTCCAGTTGACCGATCCCAACAAAAATTATAATTTTGGGTGGAAAATACCCAAAAAATTCACCAAGACTCTTCCAGTTTACCAATCCCAACAAAAATGATAATTTCGGGTGGAAAAGACGCAAAAAATTCACCAAAACTCTTCCAGTTGACCGTTCATGGTGGAAACCACCCAAAACCATCACCAAGACTCTTCCAATTGGCCAATCCCGACAAAAACGATAATTTTGGGTGGAAAAGACCCAAAAAATTCACCAAAACTCTTCCAGTTGACCAAACCCAACAAAAACGATCATTTTGGGTGGAAAAGACTCAAAAATTCACAAAGACTCTTCCAGTTGACCAAACCCAACCCCAATGATCATTTTGGCTGAAAACCACCCAAAAAACCCACCAAGACTCTTCCAGTTGGTCAATCCCGACAAAAAACGATAATTTTAGGTGGAAAAAACCCAAAAAAATCCACCAAGACTCTTCCAGTTGACTAAACCCAACCCCAACGATCGTTTTGGATCAAAACCACCCAAAAAACCCACCAAGACTCTTCCAGTTGACCAAACCCGACCCCAACGATCGTTTTGGCTGAAAACCACCCAAAAAAACCACCAAGACTCTTCCAGTTGACCGATCCCAACAAAAACGATAATTTTGGGTGGAAAAGACCCAAAAAATTCACCAAGACTCTTCCAGTTGACCAAACCCAACCCCAATGATCATTTTGGCCGAAAACCACCCAAAAAAACCCACCAAGACTCTTCCAGTTGACCAATCCCAACCCGAATTATCATTTTGGCCAAAAACCACCCAAAAAACCCACCAAGACTCTTCCAGTTGACCGTTCATGGTGGAAACCACCCAAAACCATCATGAAAACTCTTCCAGTTGACCAATCCCAACAAAAACAATAATTTTGGGTGGAAAAGACCCAAAAAATCCACCAAGACTCTTCCAGTTGACTAATCCCAACAAAAAATGATAATTTTAGGTAGAAAAGACGCAAAAGATCCACCAAGACTCTTCCAGTTGACCAAGAGTCTTCCAGTTGACCAAACCCAACAAAAACGATAATTTTGGGTGGAAAAAGCCCCAAATTTCACCAAAACTCTTCCGTTTGACCCCAACAGGTGACCAATCATTGTCCGCCGGCGACATCCGCGTGGAGACGGTGCCGCCTCAATTCGCCGACATCTTCCGGGACCGCTCGGCGCGGCTGACGTGCCGCGTCACCAACGTGCCGGCGGCCGCCGACGGGCTGGAGGTGACGTGGCTGAAGGAGGACGGCCAAGTTTTGGCCACCAAAACGTCGTCGCCGGCGCCGCAGCCCGACGGGCTCCTGGCGGCCGAGGGCGTGGCCGAGGTGGGCGCCGAGCTCTGGGAGTCCGGTCAGACGTTCACGTGCCGCGTGGCGCACCCGGAGCTGCTGTTCCCCAAGGAGGTCACCATGAGGAAGACTTTGGGTGAGTTGGGTTGGATGAGTTGGGTTGAGTTGGGTTGGGTTGGGTTGAGTTCATTGGGTTGGGTTGGGTTGGGTTGGGTTGGGTTGAGTTCATTGAGTTGGGTTGAGTTGGGTTGAGTTGGGTTGGGTTGAGTTGGGTTGAGTTGGGTTGAGTTCATTGAGTTGAGTTGAGTTCATTGAGTTGGTTTGGGTTGAGTTTGTTGGGTTGGGTTGGGTTGAGTTTGGTTGGATGGGTTCAGTTGAGTTAAGTTGTATTGGGTTGAGTTGGGTTTGGTTAAGTTCATTGAGTTGAGTTGGGTTGGGTTGGATGAGTTGGGTTGGGTTGGGTTGGGTTGGGTTGGGTTTGGTTGGGTTTGGTTGAGTTCATTGGGTTGAGTTCATTGAGTTGGGTTGGGTTGAGTTTGGTTGGGTTGGGTTGGGTTGAGTTTGGTTGGGTTGGGTTGGATGAGTTGAGTTCATTGGGTTGAGTTGGGTTGAGTTGGATGAGTTGGGTTGGGTTGAATTCATTGAGTTGAGTTGGGTTGGGTTCATTGATTTGGTTTGAATTTGGTTGAGTTGGGTTGGGTTGAGTTGGGTTGGGTTGGGTTGAGTTGAGTTGGGTTGGGTTGGGTTCATTGAGTTGGGTTGGGTTGGGTTGGGTTGAGTTGGGTTGGGTTGGGTTTGGTTGAGTTGAGTTCGTTGGGTTGGGTTGAGTTGGGTTGGGTTGGGTTGGGTTGGGTTGAGTTGGGTTGGGTTGGGTTGGGTTGAATTTGGTTGAGTTCATTGAGTTGGGTTGGGTTGGGTTGAGTTCATTGAGTTGGGTTGGGTTGGGTTGGGTTGAGTTCATTGAGTTGGGTTGAGTTGGGTTGGGTTGAGTTCATTGGATTTGGTTGGGTTGGGTTGAGTTTGGTTGAGTTCATTGGGTTGGATTGAGTTGGGTTGAATTCATTGAGTTGGGTTGGGTTGGGTTGAGTTGGGTTGAGTTCATTGAGTTGAGTTGGGTTGGGTTGGATGAGTTGGGTTGAGTTGGGTTCATTGAGTTGGGTTGGGTTGTTTGGGTTGGGTTGGATGAGTTGGGTTGGGTTGGATGAGTTGGGTTGGGTTGGATGAGTTGGGTTGGGTTGGGTTGGGTTCATTGGGTTGGGTTGGGTTGGGTTGGATGAGTTGGGTTGAGTTGGGTTGGGTTGAGTCCATTGGGTTGAGTTGGGTTGGGTTGGATGAGTTGGGTTGGGTTGGTTTGAGTTCATTGAGTTGGGTTGAGTTCATCGAGTTTAGTTGGGTTGGGTTGAGTTCATTGAGTTGGGTTTATTAAGTTGGGTTGGGTTGAGTTGGGTTGAGTTGGGTTGGATGAGTTGGGTTGGGTTGGGTTGGGTTGGGTTGGGTTGGGTTCGTTGAGTTGGGTTGGGTTGGGTTGGGTTGAGTTTGGTTGAGTTGAGTTCATTGGGTTGGGTTGACTTTGGTTGGGTTGAGTTGGGTTTTGTTGGATGGGTTGAGTTGGGTTGAGTTGGTTTGGGTTGAGTTTGTTGGGTTGAGTTGAGTTGGGTTGGGTTGGGTTGAGTTCATTGAGTTGACTTGGGTTGGGTTGGGTTGAGTTGGGTTGGGTTGAGTTGGGTTGGGTTGGGTTGGGTTGGGTTGGATTCATTGAGTTGGGTTGGGTTGGGTTTGGTTGAGTTGGATTGGGTTGGGTTGAGTTGGGTTGAGTTGGGTCGGGTTGAGTTGAGTTGAGTTTGGTTCATTGAGTTGGGTTGGGTTGGGTTGGGTTGGGTTGAGTTCATTGGGTTGAGTTCATTGGGTTGGGTTGGGTTGGGTTGAGTTGGGTTGAGTTGGGTTGAGTTGGGTTGGGTTGAGTTGGGTTGGATTGGGTTGGTTTGAGTTTGGTTGAGTTTGTTGAGTTGGGTTGGGTTGAGTTGGGTTGGTTTGAGTTTGGTTGGGTTGGGTTTGGTTGAGTTCGTTGGGTTGAGTTGGGTTTTCTTAGATGGGTTGAGTTGGGTTGGGTTGGGTTGAGTTGGGTTGGGTTGGGTTGAGTTGGGTTGGGTTGGGTTGAGTTTGGTTGAGTTCATTGGGTTGGGTTGAGTTGAGTTCATTGGGTTGGGTTGAGTTTGGTTGGGTTGGGTTGGGTTGAGTTGAGTTGATGTTGACCTTGAAACAACAACGCTACAAAATTTCCAACTTTCACCCCAAAAAAACCCCAAAAACCCCCAAATTTCCCTTCCAGTGCCATCACCATCCCCCCCCTCCATCCACCTCCTCCCACCACCACCGGAACAACTCCGCGACCGCACCTGGGCCACCCTCACCTGCCTCGTCCGCGACTTCAACCCGCCCGAAATCCTCCTCCAATGGCTCCACGACGGCCGGCCCCTCCCCCCGGGCCACGCCCTCACCTGGCGGCCCCGCCCCGAGCCCGGCCCCACCCCCCGAGGCCACGCCCCCGCCTACCTGAGCGTCAGCACCTTGACGGTGCCGGCGCGGGACTGGGAATCCGGCGGCGTCTTCACCTGCCTGGTGGGGCACGAGCGGCTGCCGCTGCGGCTGGCGCAGAAATCGCTGGACAAGGCGGCCGGTAAACCCACCAACGTCAACGTTTCGTTGGTTTTTAGCGACTCTGCCAGTGCCTGTTACTGAAAATCACGTTTTTTACCCCGAAAAATAAAGGTTTTGCAAAAAAAATGGCGCCTTTGGGCCAAAAAATGGCGTTTTTAGCTCAAAAATTGGGGTTTTTGTCATGGTTTTGACCAAAAAATGGAGATTTCCCAAGAATTTTCGAGTGCGTTTCGGCCAAACTTTGGTTCTGCCAAAATGTTGGTGAAAAATTGAGTTTTGCCCAAAATTCGTTTTTTTTCCCCAAAAATATGAGTTTTGACCCCGTTTTCCCACAAAAATTGGGTTTTTTCCTCCTAAAATTCCAATTTTTTCCAAAAATATTGGTTTGTCCCAATGCGACAATTTTTCCCCAAGAAATGACCATTTTTTCCCAAAATCGCCACTTTTTCACCCAAAAAATGACGTTTCGACCCCATTTTCCAACAAAAATTGGGTTTTTTACACCAAAATTCTGATTTTTACCAAAAGCAACCAATTTTTTCCAAGCCGATCATTTTCCCCAAAGAAACGAACGTTTTTCCCAAAATCGCCACTTTTTCACCCAAAAATTCCTAATTTTTCCACCAAAAATACCCCATTTTAATCCAAAACTCCCATTTTTTGTAGAAACCCACTTTTCTCCAAAAAAACCCCATTTTTCCCCAAGAAAGGACCATTTTTTCCCAAAATCGCCACTTTCTCACCCAAAAACCCCGATTTTCCCACTCAAAATCAGCAATTTCTCCCCAAAATTCCTGCCTGGTGGGGCACGAGCGGCTGCCGCTGCGGCTGGCGCAGAAATCGCTGCACAAGGCGGCCGGTAAACCCACAAACGTCAACGTTTCGTTGATTCTGAGCGACTCTGCCAGCGCGTGTTACTGAAAATCACGTTTTTTAACCCAAAAAATAAAGGTTTTGCAAAAAAATTGGCGCCTTTTGGCCAAAAAATGGCTTTTTTAGCTCAAAAATATGGTTTTCCGACAGCATTTTAACCGTTTCGCCAAAAATTTGCGAGCGCGTTTCGACCAGAGAATGTGATTGGTGAAAATCAAAGTTTTGCCCAAAATTTGGCTTTTTTCCCCCAAAAATATGAGTTTTGACCCTGTTTTCCCACCAAAATCGGGGTTTTTCCTCCTAAAATTCCAATTTTTGCCAAAAATATTGGTTTGTCGAAATATGACAATTTTTCCTCAAGAAACGACGATTTTTTCCCAAAATCGCCACTTTTTCACCCAAAAAATGACGTTTTGACCCCATTTTCCCCCAAAAAAACGAGTTCGTTGGCCTAAAATTCCTATTTTTGCCAAAAATAGTGATTTTTTCCAAGCCGACCATTATTTCCCCAATATGTCCGATTTTTCCCAAAATCGTCATTATTTTACCCAAAAATTCCCATTTTTTCCACCAAAAATACCCCATTTTCATTAAAAACCCAGTTTTTCTTGGACACCCACTTTTTTTTCCAAAATGATCAATTTCCCCAATAGACGACCGTTTTTTCCCAAAATCGCCACTTTTTTACCCAAAATTTCCCATTTTTCCCATCAAAAATGGACCATTTTCATCAATTCCCATCATTTTTCTCGGACACCCATTTTTCCCCAAAATCGCCACTTTTTCACCCAAAATTTCCCATTTTCCCCCCCAAAACTCCCCAATTTCCACCAAAACCCGCCAACGTCAACGTTTCCTTAATTTTCAGCGACTCCGCCGGCGCGTGTTACTGAAAATCCAATTTTTTACCCCAAAAAATGCACTTTGTTGGAGAGAAATAAAGGTTTTGCAAGAAAAATGGCGCCTTTTGGCCAAAAAATGGCATTTTTTGCACAAAAATATGGTTTTTTGACATCATTTTAACCGATTTTTCAAGATTTTCCGACCACGTTTCCACCAAACTTTGATTCTGCCAAAATGTTGGTGAAAATTTGAGTTTTGCCCAAATTTCGGCTTTTTTCCCCCAAAAATATGAGTTTTGACCTCGTTTTCCCACCAAATCTGGGTTTTTCCTCCTAAAATTCCGATTTTTGCCAAAAATATTGGTTTGTCCCAATGCGACAATTTTTCCCCAAGAAACGACCCTTTTTCCCAAAATCGCCGCTTTTTCACCCAAAAAACTGAGTTTTGACCCCATTTTCCCACAAAAATTGGGTTTTTCAGCCTAAAATTCCAGTTTTTGTTAAAAATAGTAGTTTTTTCCAAGCCGACCGTTTTCCCCCAATAGTGTGCGATTTTTCCCAAAATCGCCGCTTTTTCACCCAAAAATTCCTATTTTTCCCACTAAAAATCCACCATTTTGATCCATTGTCATTGTTTTTCTTAAACAACCGCATTTCCCTGCAAAATGGTCAATTTTCCCCAAAAATGACTATTTTTTCCCCAAAATTGTCACTTTTTTACCCAAAAATTCCCATTTTTTCCACCCAAAATACCCAATTTTCATAAAAAATCCAGTTTTTCTTGGACACCCACTTTTTTTTCCAAAATGATCAATTTCCCCAATAGACGACCGTTTTTTCCCAAAATCGCCACTTTTTTACCCAAAATTTCCCATTTTTCCCATCAAAAATGGACCATTTTCATCAATTCCCATCATTTTTCTCGGACACCCACTTTTCCCCAAAATCGCCACTTTTTCACCCGAAAATTCCCAATTTTCCCCCCAAAAATCCCCAATTTCCACCAAAACCCGCCCACGTCAACGTCTCGTTGGTTTTTAGCGACTCCGCCGGCGCGTGTTACTGAAAATCCAATTTTTCAGCCCAAAAAATGCACTTTGTTGGAGAGAAATAAAGGTTTTGCAAGAAAAATGGCGTTTTTTGGCCAAAAAACGGCGTTTTTTGCACGAAAATGCGATTTTTTGACACCATTTTGACTGATTTTACGAGTTTTTCCAACTGCGTTTCGACTAAAATTTGATTCCATCAAAATGTGGCAAAAGTCAAAGTTTTGCCCAAAATTTGACTTTTTTCACTCAAAAAATGACGTTTCGACCCCATTTTCCCCCAAAAAAACGAGTTCGTTGGCTAAAAATTCCTACTTTTGCCAAAAATTGTGGTTCATTCCAAGCCGACCATTATTTCCCCAGTAGTGTCTGATTTTTCCCAAAATCGTCACTTTTTTACCCAAAAATTCCCATTTTTCCCACTAAAAATCCACCATTTTGATCAATTGTCATCGTTTTTCTTAGACACCCACAGTTCCCTGCAAAATGACGGATTTTCCCCAAAAATTACCATTTTTTTCCCAAAATCGCCGCTTTTTCACCCAAAAATTCCCAGTTTATGCACCAAAAATACCCAATTTTTGTCCAAAAATCTAAATTTTTAGAGACACCAACTTTTCTCCAAAGAAACACATTTTTATTCAAGAAACACCCATTTTTTCCCAAAATCGCCGCTTTTTCACCCAAAAAACCCGGTTTTCCCACTCAAAATCAGCAATTTCTCTCCAAAAATCCCGTTTTTCATAGAAACCCACTTTTCTCCAAAAAAGGCCCATTTTTATTCAAGAAATGACCATTTTTCCCAAAAATTGCCACTTTTTCACCCAAAAATTCCTAATTTTCCACCAAAAATACCCAATTTTTGTCCAAAAATCTCAATTTTCGGAGATACCAACTATTCTCCAAAAAACCCCATTTTTCCCCAAGAAACAACCATTTTTTCCCAAAATCGCCGCTTTTTCACCCAAAAAACCCCATTTTTCCCCAAGAAACGTCCATTTTTTTCCCAAAATCGCCGCTTTTTCACCCAAAAAACCCGGTTTTCCCACTCAAAATCAGCAATTTCTCCCCAAAATTCCTGCCTGGTGGGGCACGAGCGGCTGCCGCTGCGGCTGGCGCAGAAATCGCTGGACAAGGCGGCCGGTAAACCCACAAATGTCAACGTTTCGTTGGTTTTTAGCGACTCGGCCAGCGCGTGTTACTGAAAATCCAGTTTTTTACCCCAAAAAATGCACTTTGACAAAGAGAAATAAAGGTTTTGCAAGAAAAATGGCGGGTTTTGGCCAAAAAATGGCGTTTTTAGCCCAAAAATTGGGGTTTTTGTCATGGTTTTGACCAAAAAATTAAAATTTCCCAAGAATTTCCGAGTGCGTTTCGACCAAAATTTGTTCCTGCCAAAATGTTGGCGAAAGTCCATGTTTTGCCCAAAATTCGGCTTTTTTCCCCCAAAAATATGAGTTTTGACCCTGTTTTCCCACAAAAATTGGGTTTTTCCTCCCAAAATTCCGATTTTTGCCGAAAACATTGGTTTGTCCCAATACGACAATTTTTCCTCAAGAAACGACGATTTTTTCCCAAAATCGCCGCTTTTTCACCCAAAAAATGACGTTTGGATCCCATTTTCCTACAAAAAATGGGTTTTTTCAGCCTAAAATTCCAGTTTTTGCCAAAAACATCGAATTTTTTCCAGGCCGACCAATTTTTCCCAAGAATGGACCATTTTTTCCCAAAATCATCGCTTTTTCACCCAAAAATTCCCATTTTTCCCACCAAAAATGGACCATTTTCATCGATTCCCATTGGTTTTCTCGGACACCCATTTTTCCCCAAAATCGCCACTTTTTCACCCAAAAATTCCCAATTTTCCCCCCAAAACTCCCCAATTTACACCAAAACCCGCCCACGTCAACGTCTCGTTGGTTTTCAGCGACTCCGCCGGCGCGTGTTACTGAAAATCCAATTTTTTACCCTAAAAAAAGCACTTTGTTGGAGAGAAATAAAGGTTTTGCAAGAAAAATGGTGGTTTTTGGCCAAAAAATGGCGTTTTTAGCTCAAAAATTGGGGTTTTTGTCATGGTTTTGACTAAAAAATGGAGATTTCCCAAGTGCGTTTCGGCCAAACTTTGATTCTGCCAAAGTGTTGTCGAAAATTTGAGTTTTGCCCAAAATTCGGTTTTTTTAGCTCAAAAAATGACATTTTGACCCAGATTTCCCACCAAAATCGGGGTTTTTCCTCCTAAAATTCCAATTTTTCCCAAATATATTGGTTTGTCCCAATGCGACAATTTTTCTCAAGAAACAACGATTTTTTCCCCAAAATCGCCACTTTTTCACCCAAAAATATGAGTTTCGACCCCGTTTTCCCACAAAAATTGGGTTTTTCAGCCTAAAATTCCAGTTTTTGCCAAAAATAGTGATTTTTTCCAAGCCGACCATTATTTCCCCAGTAGTGTCTGATTTTTCCCAAAATCGTCACTTTTTTACCCAAAAATTCCCATTTTTTCCACCAAAAATACCCAATTTTCATAAAAAATCCAGTTTTTCTTGGACACCCACTTTTCCCCCCAAAACGATCAATTTCCCCCAAAAATGACAATTTTTTCCCAAAATCGCCACTTTTTCACCCAAAAATTCCCAATTTCCCACCCAAAAAAGACCATTTTTCCCCAAAATCGCCAATTTTTCACCCAAAAAATTCCCATTTTTCCCCCCAAAGATATAATTTTTTTAGACATCCACTTTTCCCCAAAAACCTTAATTTTTCACCCAAAAATTCCCAATTTTCCCACCAAAAATTCCCATTTTCATTAAAAAATCACATTTTTCTTCGACACCCAATTTTCTCCCAAAAAACCCCAAATTTTCCCAAAATCGCCAATTTTTCACCCAAAAATTCCCATTTTTCCCACTAAAAAACCCCCATTTTTTTCCCATAATCGCTACTTTTTCACCCAAAAATTCCTGATTTCCCACCAAAAAAAAATCACACTTTTTTCCCAAAATCGCCACTTTTTCACCCAAAAATCCCCATTTTTCCCACCAAAAAAAGAACAATTTTTTCCCCAAAATCGTCACTTTTTCACCCAAAAATTCCCATTTTTCCCACCAAAAATACCCAATTTTTGTCCCAAAAATACAATTTTTCTTCAACACCCAGTTTTCCCCCAAAACCCCAAATTTTTCACCCAAAAATTCCAAATTTCCTACCAAAAAAACCCAATTTTTTTTCCCCAAAACTGCCACTTTTTCACCCAAAAATCCCCATTTTTGTACCCAAAAAAAGAACAATTTTTTCCCCAAAATTGCCACTTTTTCACCCAAAAATTCCCATTTCCCCCCCCCGAAAAATACCCAATTTTTGTCCAAAAATAAAATTTTTTTCAAACACCCACTTTTCTCCAAAAACCCCAAATTTTCACCCAAAAATTCCCATTTTCCCCAGCAAAAAATCTCATTTTTTAGCAAAAAATCCCATTTTTCTTAGAAACCAAAATTTACCCAAAACCCCCCAATTTTCCCCAAAAAAGGAGCAGCGAAAATAAAGGTTTTTGGAACAAAAAAAAGCACATTTCGACCAAAAAATGACATTTTTTGTTCAAAAATTGGGGTTTTTAGCACCAAAAAAATCCTATTTTTTTTTTTTTAATGTTCTGAGAGAATTTTTACCAAAATTTTGGTTTTTAATATCAAAAATAAAAATTTTCGCACAATAAAAAAAAATTTAAGGTTTTTTTTTTTTTTTTGCAGGGCGGGAAATTTTGGGGGGAAAATCCCAAATTTTGGGGTAAAAAATTCGGGATTTTAGGGCAAAAAAAATTCCAAATTTTGGGGCAAAAGATTCGGGATTTGGGGGGAAAAAATCCCGAATTTTGGGGTAAAAAAATGAGGATTTGGGGTCAAAAAATTCCCAAATTTTGGGGTAAAAAATTGGGGATTTAGGGAAGAAAATTCCCAAATTTTAGGGGTGAGAAATTTGGGATTTTGGGGGAAAATTCCCAAATTTTGAGGCAAAAAAATTGAGGATTTGGGGCAAAAAATCCCAAATTTTGGGGTAAAAAATCCCAAATTTTGGGGTAAAAAAAGAGGATTTGGGGCAAAAAAATTGGGATTTGGGGGGAAAAAATCCCGAATTTTGGGGTAAAAAAATGACAATTTGGGATTAAAAAGTTCCCAAATTTTGGGGTGAAAATTTTGAGATTTTGGGGGAAAAAAAATCCCAAATTTTGGGGTAAAAATTCCCAAATTTTGGAGTGAAAAATTCGGGATTTGGGGTAAAAATTCCCAATATTTGAGGCAAAAAAATTGAGGATTTGGGGGTGAAAAATCCCAAATTTTGGGGTGAAAAAATCGGTATTTTGGGCAGAAAAATTTCCAAAATTCGGGATTTTGTTGGGGGGGGGGGGGAATTCCAAATTTGGGGCAAAAATCCCAAATTTTGGGGCAAAACCCCCAAATTTTAGGCAAAAAAAATTCCTAAAATTTAGATTAAAAAAATCACAAATTTTGGGTCAAAAAAATCAAAATGTTGGGCAAAAATCTCCCAAATTTTGGGGTAAAAAAATCCCAATTTTGGGAAAAAAAAATTAAATTTTGCCTCAAATAAACCCAAATTTTTGCTCTAAAACCCTGAAATTTTGGGGTAAAAATCCTGAAATTTTGGTTAAAAAAATCCCAAAATTTATATTTTAAAAATTCCCAAATTTTACTCAAAAAACTCCCAATTTTTGAGGTAAAAACCTGAATTTTTGGCAAAAAAAAATCAAATTTCACCTCAAAAAAACCCAACTTTTGCCTTAAACCCCTGAAATTTTTGAGTAAAAATTCCGAATTTTTGGGTTTAAAAATTCCAAAATTTATATTTTAAGAAATCCCAAATTTTCACCCAAAACCACCCAAATTTTGAGGCAAAAAATCCACAAAAAAATCAAATTATTGCTTAAAAAATCCGAATTTTCGCCCCAAAACCCCCAAATTTTTACCCTGACCCCCCAAATTCCAGGCGAGGATTTCGAATTTTGGGTTAAAAAACGTCGATTTTGGTTAAAAATGTGAAAATTTGGGTTTTTGGCAGCGCTGGTGGCGGGGGCGGCGCTGGAGGAGGACGAGGAGCTGCAGAACCTTTGGGCCACGGCCTCGACCTTCATCGTCCTCTTCATCCTCAGCCTCTTCTACAGCGCCACCGTCACCCTCATCAAGGTGAAAATTCACAAAATTCCCAAATTTCCCGAAATTCCCGTTTTTTACCCCAAAAAAATCTGATTTGTTTTCCCCAAAAAATTGGATTTTTTCGCCCAAAAATCGGATTTTTTCCCCGTTTTTTGCCAAAAAAATCGGATTTTTTCCCCCTTTTTTCACCCAAAAATTGGATTTTTCCCCCTTTTTTTTAGCCCAAAAAATTGGATTTTTTCCCTTTTTTTTTTCCAAAAAAATCGGATTTTTTCTCCTTTTTTTCACCCGAAAATCGGAAATTTTTTCCCCTTTTTTCCACCCAAAAAATCGGATTTTTTCCCCTTTTTTTCACCCAAAAATCTGATTTTTCCCGATTTTTTTTTGCCAAAAAATCGGATTTTTTCCCCTTTTTTTCACCCAAAAAATGGGATTTTTTCCCCTTTTTTTCACCCAAAAATCAGATTTTTCTCCCTCTTTTTCACCCAAAAATCTGAATTTTTTCCCCTTTTTTCATCCAAAAATTGGAATATTTTCCTTTTTTTCGCCCAAAAATGAGATTTTTTTCCCCTTTTTTCACCCAAAAAATCAGATTTTTTTCCCCTATTTTGTCACCCAAAAATCGGAATTTTTTCCCTTTTTTCATCCCAAAATCAGATTTTTCCCCTCTTTTCTCCCAAAAAATTGGATTTTTTCCCCCGCAATTTTCACCCAAAAATCCCCATTTCCCCCTTTTTTTTTGCCCAAAAATTGGATTTTTTTTTCCCTTTTTTCACCTAAAATTTACCATTTTTTCCCCAAAAAAATCCCCATTTTTCCTCGATTTCCACCCAAAAATCCGATTTTTTACATAGTTTTTCCCTCAAAAATTCCAATTTTTTCGCCCAAAAATTTCCAATTTTTTCTTGATTTTTTCCTCAAAAATTCCAATTTTTTCCCCCAAAGAATCCTGTTTTTTTCCTCATTTTTAGCCCAAAAATTCAAATTTTTTCCCTTAAATAATCCCATTTTTTCCCAAAAATTCCAATATGTTATCCCAAAAATCCCGATTTTTACCTCATTTTTTTTCACCCAAAAATGGGATTTTTTTTCCCGGTTTTGCACCCAAAAATTCCCAATGTTTTCTCAAAAAAATCCCGATTTTTTTCCTAATTTTTCCCCCCCAAAATCCCATTTTTTTCCCCTGTTTTACGTCTATAAATTCTCATTTTTTGCACCCCAAAAAATCCCAAATTTTTCCCTCATTTTCACCCAAAATCCCAATTTTTTCCTAATTTTCACCCCAAAATTCCCATTTTCCCCTGATGTTTTCACCTAAAAATTCCCATTTTTTTTCCCAAAAAATCCCAATTTTTTGCCGATTTTCCCCCCAAAAAATTGATTTTTTTCCCCCAAAATTCCCATTTTCCCTCCCAATTCAGGAATTTTCCCGAAAACCCCAAAAATTCGGATTTTTAATCCATTTTTAATAAATTTAAATCAATTTTTTATCAATTTTAACCCAATTTTGACTTTTTTCCCCATTTTAGGTGAAATGACCCCGAGCCGGAGCCGCCGGAAAATTCGGGAATTTTCCCCTCCCCCACCCGCGGAAATCCCAAAAAAACCCAAAAATTAAAAATTAAAAAAAAACACCCAAAAAATCCCCAAAATCTTAAAAAATCCGCCCCAAAAGATCCCCAAAAAATTCCCAAAAAAACCCGAAAAAATCACCAAAAAACCCCCAAAAATCAAAAAAAAAAATCCCCCCAAAAAATTCACAAAAAAATCCCCCCAAAACCCCAAAAATCCCCAAAAAATCCCTTAAAAAATAAAAAAAAAATTTCCAAAAAACACCCAAAAAAATTCACAAAAAAAACCCCAAAAAATCCCCCAAAAACCCAAAAAAATCCCAAAAAATCCCTTTAAAAAAAATCCCAAAGAATCCCCAAAAAAACACCCCAAAAAATTCACTAAAAAAACCCAAAAAATCCCCCAAAAATTAAAAAAAAACCAAAAAATTCACTAAAAAAATCCCTTTAAAAATCCAAAAAAAATTCCCAAAAAATTCCCCCAAAAAAATCCCCCCCAAAAAAATTCACAAAAAAACCCCAAAAATTCCACCAAAAAATCCCCAAAAAAAGCCAAAAAAAATCCCCTAAAAATCCTCAAAAAACCCCAAAAAATTCACCAAAAAAATCTCCCCAAAACACCCAAAAATCCCAAAACATCCCCCAAAAAATCCCCAAAAAAATCCCCCAAAGAAACCCAAAAAAATCCCAAAAAAACGCAAAAAATTCACAAAAAAATTCCCAAAAAAAACCCCAAAAAATTCCAAAAAAATAAAAAAAATTCATCAAAAAACCCCAAAAAAATCCCCAAAAAAACCCAAAAAAATCTCCCAAAAAATCCCAAAAAAACCCACAAAAAACCCCAAAAATCCAAATAAAAATCGCAAAAGTGCCACAAATAAAGGAAATTTTTCCTCGTTTTCGGGAAATTTTGGTGTTGGTTTTTTTTTTGGGGAATTTTGGGGGAATTTTGGGGAGAAAATTCGGGAATTTTGGGATCAATTTTGAGGAATTTTGTGGACAAAAATTCCAGAATTTTGGGATCAATTTTGGTGATTTTTGGTGGATTTTTGGGATCAATTTTGGGAATTTTAAAATAAAAATTGGGAATTTTGGGGGGAATTTTGGAATTTTTGGGAAATTTGGGATTTTTGGGGGATTTTGGGGGAATTTTGGGATTTTTTAGAAGAAATTTTTGGGATAAATTTGGGGGGTTTTAATAAAATTTTGGGGGAATTTTTGGGGAAATTTTTGGATTTTTCAAGAAATTTTGGGGGAAAATTTGGGGAATTTTGAGGGGAAATTTGGGATGAAATTTTAAATAAATTTTGGGGGAAATTTTGGGATTTTTGAAAATAAAATTTGGGATTTTTGGGCTAAATTTGGGGGTTTTTAATAAAATTTTAGGGTAAAATTCGGGGATTTGGGGAGGAAATTTGGGAAATTTTACCAAAAATTAAAAAAAAAAAAAATTTTCACACAAAAGACCCAAAATTCGATTTTATTGCCCCAAAAAAAGCCCAAATTCGACGTCCGGAGGCGAAATCTCATCACAGCACCTGAAAAAAAAAAACAACAAATTTTGGGTAAATTCACCAAAAATGGGAAATTTGGGAGAAAATCGGCGAAAATTGAGATTTTTGGGGGAAAAAAATTAAAAGTTGTGATTTTTTGGGGGGGAAAATGGTGATTTTTTTGGGAAAAATCATAAAAAATGTGGGTTTTTTTGAGGAAAAAATGTGATTTTTGGGTGGAAAACGGCAAATTTTGGGTGAAAATGATTGAAAAATTGAAATTTTGGGTGGAAAAATGGGAAATTTGGGAAAAAACGGAAAATATGCGGATTTTTGGGGAAAAAAATTGGGAATTTTGGGTGGAAAATCATAAAAAATGGGGATTATCCAAAACTTCGATTTTTTTGGAGAGAAAAATCATCCAAAAATTCGAATTTTTTGGGGAAAAATATTTATAAAGTGATTTTTGGGGGAAAAAAGGCGATTTTTGGGTAAAAAACAGGCCAAAAAAAAGAGCTATTTTTGGGGGAAAATTATCCAAACTGGCAATTTGTTTTTGAAAAAAATTGTCCAAAAATTCGATTTTTTTGGGTAAAAAAATCATTTTAAAATAGCGATTTTTTTTTTTTTTGAGGAAAATTATCCCAAAAAAAGCGAATTTTTTGGGAAAAAAATCCAAAAAATCGATTTTTTTTTAAGGAAAAAAATATCAAAAAATTCGAGTTTTTTGAGGGGGAAAAAAAGCGATTTTTTGGGAAAAAATTATCAAAATTAGCGATTTTTTTTTTGAAAAAATATCAAAAAATTCGATTTTTTTTTGGGTAAAAATATTTTTTAAAAATTTATTTTTGGGTAAAAAATCATTTTAAAATCAAGATTTTTTTTTTTTTGAGGAAAATGATCCCAGAAAAGTGATTTTTTGGGACGAAAAATTATCAAAAAATTCGGATTTTTTTAAGGAAAAAAAATACCAAAAAATTCGATATTTTTTGGGGTAAAAATATTTTTTAAAATCTTATTTTTAGGTAAAACAAATAATTTAAAAATCGCGATTTTTTTTTGTAGGAGAATGATTTAAAAAAAAAAGTTTTTTTTTTGGGGGAAAAATTATCAAAAAATTCAATTTTTTTTTTAGGAAAAAGTATCAAAAAATTCGATTTTTTGGGGTAAAAAATATTTTTTAAAAATTTATTTTTCAGTTAAAAAAATGATTTTAAAAAACACAATTTTTGGCAGGAAAATATTCCAAAAAAAAGCGATTTTGGGGGGGGGGAAATATCAAAAAATTCCAATTTTGGGGGGAAAAAATATCAAAAATTTTGATTTTTCTGGGGGAAAAAATATCAAAAAAATCAGATTTTTTAAGGAAAAAAATACCAAAAAATCGATTTTTTTTAAGGAAAAAAACATTTTAAAAAGCGATTTTTTGGGTAAAAATCAGCCCAAAAAAAGCGAATTTTTGGGGAAAACTCTAAAAATCGCTGTTTTATGGGAATTTTCCCAAAATGTGAGTTTTTTACCTTAAAAAGGGTGACGCCGGCGCCGTAGAAGAGGCTGAGGAGGAAGAGGAGGAGGAAGGTGCCGAAGGTCCAAAGGTCGGAATTTTCCGGGTCCCGTTCGGGCTCCAGCGGCAGCGGCAGCGCCACGAAAGTCGGGGGAAAATCTGGGGGAAAAAAGGGGGAAATTGGGCAAAAAGGGGAAAAAAAATACTCGGGAAAAATCCGCGTTTTAACCAGAAAAAATCCAAATTTTACAGCAAAAAAATTTGCGTTTTTCAGTAAAAAATCCGCATTTTCCAGCAAAAAATCCGCATTTTCCACTCAAAAAATTCGCATTTTACACCTAAAAATTCACATTTTCCTCTCAAAAGTTCACATTTTCCACCCCAAAATATCCGCATTTTCCACCCAAAAAAATCCAGTTTTTCCTCCCAAAAATCCACATTTTACCTCGTAAAAATCCGAATTTTCCACCCAAAAATCCGCATTTTCTTCCCAAAAAATCTGCATTTTTCTCCCAAAAATTTGCATTTTCCACCCAAAAAATCCGCATTTTCCAGCATAAAATTCACATTTTTCACCCAGAAAAATCCACATTTTCCACCCAGAAAAATCCACATTTTTCACTCAAAATATCCACATTTTTCACCCCAAAAAATTCACATTTTCCTCCTAAAAATCCACATTTTCCACTCAAAAAATCCACATTTTTCACCCAAAAATCGACATTTTCCACCCAAAAATTAACCGATTTTACCCCAAATCCACTTTTCCTCCCAAAAATCAACAATTTCCATCGTCAAATCGACCGATTTCACCCCAAATCCGCCTTTCCTCCCCAAATCGACATTTTCCACCCAAAATCCACATTTTTTGTGCCAAAATCCAAATTCTGACACCTAAAATCCACGAATTTCAGCCCAAATCCCCTTTTCCTCCTAAAATTGACATTTTCCTCCTAAAATTGTCATTTTCCACCCAAAATCCACATTTTCCACCCAAAATTGATATTTTCCTCCTAAAAATCCACATTTTTTGTTCCAAAATCCGCATTTTCCCCCAAAAATTCTCATTTCCCCTCCTAAAATCCACATTTTTCTCCCAAAATGAATATTTCTCACCCAAAACAAAAATCCACATTTTATGTCCCAAAATCGATATTTTCCTCCTGAAAATCCACGTTTTTTGCCCCAAAATCCACATTTTTTGCCCAAAAATTCACATTTTTCCTTCTAAAATGGCAAATTTCCTACCAAAAAAATCCACATTTTCCCCCTAAAATCCACATTTTTGGCCCAAAAATCCAAATTTTACCTCCTAAAATCGCAATTTCCCACCAAAAACAAAAATCCACATTTTCCCTCCTAAAATCGACATTTTCCACCCGAAATCGATATTTTCCTCCTAAAAATCCACATTTTCCCCCTAAAATCCACATTTTTTGCCCAAAAAATCCAAATTTTGGTGCCTAAAATCCACAAATTTCACCCAAAAAAACCACGAAAAACCAAATTTTGACATCTAAAATTCACTTTATTTGCCCCAAAATCAATAGCAGACGACGTCGGCGTCGGCCAGCCCCACGGACACGTTGACATTGGCCGGCCGCCCACCGGTCCACGTTCCTCTGCAGGAACTTCACTCCTCCCACGGCCTCGTGTCCCACCACGCACCCGAAGACGTTTTACCCAAAAATACACAGTTTACACCCAAAATACGCATTTTATACACAAAAATTCGCATTTTGCCCAAAAATTCGCATTTTCCACCCAAAAATCCGCGTTTTCGTCACAAAAATCGACCGATTTCAGCTCAAATCCACTTTTCTCCTAAAATCCAAATTTTACCTCCAAAAATCCACATTTTCCATCCTAAAATTGACCGATTTCTCCCCAAATCCACTTTTCCTCCTAAAATCCACATTTTACCACCTAAAATCCACATTTTCCACTCAAAATCCACATTTTTTGTGCCAAAATCCAAATTTTAACACCTAAAATCCACGAATTTCAGCCCAAATCCCCTTTTCCTCCTAAAATTGACATTTTCCACCCAAAATTGATATTTCCCACCAAAAAATCCACATTTTATCTCCTAAAATCCACATTTTCCACCCAAAAATCCACATTTTACCTCCTAAAAATTCGCATATTTCCCACCCAAAACATCCACATTTTCCACCCAAAAATCGGTATTTTCCTCCTAAAAATCCCCATTTTTTGTCCCAAAATCCCCATTTTTTTGCCCAAAAATCCACATTTCCCACCCAAAAAAAAATCCATATTTTTCCTCACAAAATCCATTTTTTTCATCCGAAAATCCAAATTTTGACGCCTAAAATCCAGGAATTTCACCCCAAAACCCCATTTTTTCCCCAAAAAACCAAATTTTTTCCCAAAAAAACACCAAAAATCAGATTTTTAATTTCTCAAAATCTCGTTTATTTTCCCCAAAATTCAATAACAGACGACGTCGGTGTCGGCCAGCACCACGGACACGTTGACGTTGTTGGGCCGCGCCGACCACCGGTCCACGTTCCTCTGCAGGAACTTCACTCCTCCCACGGCCTCGTGTCCCACCACGCACCCGAAGGCGTTTGACCCAAAAATACGCAGTTTACACCCAAAATACGCATTTTATACACAAAAATACACAGTTTACACCCAAAATCCGCATTTTGCACCCAAAAATTCACATTTTGCACCCAAAAATTCGCATTTTACACCCAAAAATTCACATTTTGCACCAAAAATTGGGGTTTTCCTCCCAAAAATCAACCGATTTCAGCTCAAATCCACTTTTCTCCTAAAATCCAAATTTACCTCCAAAAATTGACATTTTCCATCCTCAAATTGACCAATTTTACCCAAATCCACTTTTCCTCCTAAAATCGACCTTTTCCCCCCAAAAATCGATATTTTCCTCCTGAAAATCCCCATTTTTTTGCCCAAAAATCCAAATTTTACCTCCTAAAATCGCAATTTCCTAACAAAACCAAACATCCACATTTTACCACCTAAAATCCACATTTTTGTCCTAAAATCCCTATTTTTTGCCCAAAAATCCACATTTCCCACCCCAAAAAAAATCCACATTTTTCCTCACAAAATCCACATTTTTGCCCCTAAAATCAAAATTTTTTGCCCAAAAAATCCAAATTTTGAGACCTGAAATCCACGAATTTCGCCCCAAAACCCCAAAAAAACACGAAAACTCAAATTTAATTTCTCAAAATCTCATTTATTGGCCCAAAATCAATAGCAGACGACATCAGTGTCGGCCAACACCACGGACACATTGACATTGGCCGGTCGCGCCGACCACCGGTCCACGTTCCTCTGCAGGAACTTCACTCCTCCCACGGCCTCGTGTCCCACCACGCACCCGAAGACGTCCCCGCGCCGCCACTCCACCGCCGGAACCTCCAACTTGGAGTAGACCGAGAAGGTCCCGACCCCACCAACATCCGGTTGTGGTCCAAAGATGGAGAACCTCTCTGGTGGCACCGGCGCGTCGCGCTGGGTCCAGGTGAGGAGAACGTCCCGCGGCGAGAATCCGGCGGCCAGGCAGGTCAAGGTGGCCGACTCGCCCCGGGCCAACTCCTCGGCCGGCGGTGGGAAGACGAAGACGTTCGGCGCCGTGGCGGTGCCGCCTGAGGGGTGGGATGGGAGGGGTTGGGTTGGGTTGGGTGGGTTGGGTTGGGTTGGGTTGGGTTTTTCGGTTGGGAAGAGCGTTCCCAGTTTGAGGAGATGTTCCCAGTTGGGTCTTCCAGTTGGAAGAACCATTCCCAGTTTGGTTCTCCAGTTGGAGAAACTGTTCCCAGTTTGAGGAACCGTTCCCAGTTTGGATCTCCCAGTTTGGGGAAACATTCCCAGTTTGGTTCTCCAGTTGGAAGAACCATTCCCAGTTTGGTTCCCCAGTTTGAGGAACCATTCCCAGTTTGAGGAACCATTCCCAGTTTGAGGAACCGTTCCCAGTTGGGTTCTCCAGTTGACCAAACCATTCCCAGTTGGATCTCCCAGTTTTTGGATCTCCCAGTTTGAGGAACCGTTCCCAGTTGGGTTCCCCAGTTTGAGGAACCATTCCCAGTTTGGGTTCTCCAGTCGACCAAACCATTCCCAGTTTGGTCTTCCAGTTGGAAGAACCATTCCCAGTTTGAGGAACCATTCCCAGTTGGAAGAACCATTCCCAGTTGCATCTCCCAGTTGAAGAAACCATTCCCAGTTGCATCTCCCAGTTTGAGGAGCTGTTCCCAGTTTGGGTTTTCCAGTTTGAGGAACCGTTCCCAGTTTAGATCTCCCAGTTTGAGGAACCATTCCCAGTTCGATCTCCCAGTTGGAAGAACCGTTCCCAGTTTGAGGAACCGTTCCCAGTTGGATCTCCCAGTTTGAGGAACCATTCCCAGTTGGGTTCCCCAGTTCGAGGAGCCGTTCCCAGTTGGGTTCCCCAGTTTGAGGAACCATTCCCAGTTTGGATCTCCCAGTTTGAGGAGCCATTCCCAGTTTGAGGAACCATTCCCAGTTTGGATCTCCCAGTTGACCAAACCATTCCCAGTTGGGTTCCCCAGTTTGAGGAACCATTCCCAGTTTGAAGAACCATTCCCAGTTTGGTCCCCCAGTTGGGTTCCCCAGTTTGAGGAACCATTCCCAGTTTGAAGAACCATTCCCAGTTGGGTTCCCCAGTTGGAAGAACCATTCCCAGTTGGGTTCTCCAGTTTGGTTCCCCAGTTGGAAGAACCATTCCCAGTTTGAGGAACCATTCCCAGTTGGGATCTCCCAGTTTGGAGAAACCGTTCCCAGTTTAGTTCCCCAGTTTGAGGAACCGTTCCCAGTTTGAGGAACCATTCCCAGTTTGAGGAACCATTCCCAGTTGGGTTCTCCAGTTTGGTTCCCCAGTTGGAAGAACCATTCCCAGTTTGAGGAACCATTCCCAGTTGGGATCTCCCAGTTTGGAGAAACCGTTCCCAGTTGGATCTCCCAGTTTGAGGAGCCGTTCCCAGTTGGGTTTTCCAGTTGGAAGAACCATTCCCAGTTTGAGGAACCATTCCCAGTTTGGTTTTCCAGTTGGAAGAACCATTCCCAGTTTGAGGAACTATTCCCAGTTTGGATCTCCCAGTTTGAGGAACCATTCCCAGTTTGAGGAACCATTCCCAGTTTGAGGAACCGTTCCCAGTTTGAGGAACTATTCCCAGTTTGGATCTCCCAGTTTGAGGAACCATTCCCAGTTTGAGGAACCGTTCCCAGTTGGGTTCCCCAGTTTGAGGAACCATTCCCAGTTTGAGGAACCATTCCCAGTTTGGGTTCTCCAGTCGACCAAACCATTCCCAGTTTGGTCTTCCAGTTTGAGGAACCATTCCCAGTTTGGTTCCCCAGTTTGAAGAACCATTCCCAGTTGGGTTTTCCAGTTGGAAAGACCAATCCCAGTTGGGTTCCCCAGTTTGAAGAACCGTTCCCAGTTTGAGGAACCATTCCCAGTTTGAGGAACCATTCCCAGTTGGATCTCCCAGTTTGAGGAACCATTCCCAGTTGGGTTCCCCAGTTGGAAGAACCATTCCCAGTTGGAAGAACCGTTCCCAGTTTGAGGAACCATTCCCAGTTTGAGGAACCGTTCCCAGTTTGAGGAACCGTTCCCAGTTTGAGGAACCGTTCCCAGTTTGAGGAACCGTTCCCAGTTTGAGGAACCGTTCCCAGTTTGGTTCCCCAGTTTGAGGAGCCGTTCCCAGTTGGGAAATCCCAACAGAAAAACCTCCTAAAAACCCCAAATTCTGACCCAAAACCTGAAAAAACCTCCTAAAAACCAGAAAAAAACACCTAAAAATCCGAATCTTTGACCCAAAATCACCAAAATTCACCCCAAAATCAGAAAAAATCACCTTAAAACCAAGACTAACCATGTAAAATCAGGACTAAAGTCTTAAAAACCTCAAATTTTGGCCCAAAACCACCAAAATTTATGCCAAAACCAGAAAAAACCTCCTAAAAACCAGGAAAAAACCAGTAAAAAACCAGGAAAAATTCCAATTTTTGACCCAAAATCCCTGAAATTCACCCCAAAAATCCATCTCACTTATTTCCTTCTTGGCGCTGGCCTCCCTTCTTTAAAACCTCCTAAAAACCCCAAATTCTGGCCAAAAACCTCCTAAAAACCAGGAAAAAATCCCCTAAAAATCGCAATTTTTGTCTCAAAAAGCCCCAAAATCCCCGAATTTCACCCCAAAACCCCTCACCTATTTCCTTCCTGGCGCTGGCCTCCATCTCCAGCTCCCCGGCGCGCACTCGGCACGTGAAGGCGACGCCGGCGTTCCTTAAAACCTCCTTAAAACCCCAAATTCTGACCCAAAACCTCCTAAATACCAGGAAAAACCCAGAAAAAATCCCCTAAAAATTGCAAATTTTTTCCCAAAATCCCCAAAATTCACCCCAAAAATCCATCTCACTGATTTCCTTCTTGGCGCTCACTGCCCTCCTTAAAACCTCCTTAAACCCCAAATTCTGACCCAAAACCAGAAAAAAACTCCTAAAAACCATGAAAAATCACCAAAAAATCCCAAATTTTTTCCCAAAATCCCCAAAATTCACCCCAAAACCAGACATGACCTCCTAAAAACCAGGGAAAAAAAAAATCACTGAAAAATCCCAATTTTTGAACCAAAGAACCAGAAAAAAACCTCCTAAAAACCATGAAAAAAATCACCTAAAAATCCCAATTTCTGACCTAAAATATGTAAAATTCACCCCAAAACCAGGAAAAAAATCACCTAAAAATCCAAATTTTTAACCCAAAACCCGGAAAGAAAAATCTCTGAAAAACCAGGATTAACCTCCTTAAAATCCCAAATTTTGACCCAAAGCCAGAGAAAAAACCTCCTAAAAACCAGGAAAAAAACAGAAAAAAAATCCCAATTTTTGACCCAAAACCAGGACGTAACCTCCTAAAAACCAGGAAAAAAATCACCTAAAAATCCCAATTTTTGACAAAAAACCAGGACGGAACCTCCTAAAAACCAGGGAAAAAAACGTAAAAACCTCAAATTTTTTCCCAAAATCCCCAAAATTCACCCCAAACCCCCTCACCGATCTCCTTCCTGGCGCTGGCCTCCATCTGCAGCTCCCCGGCGCGCACTCGGCACGTGAAGGCGGCGCCGGAGTTCCTTAAAACCTCCTTAAAACCCCAAATTCTGACCCAAAACCAGAAAAAATCACCTTAAAAAAAGGATTAACCTCCTAAAATCCCAAATTCTGACCTAAAATGTCTCAAATTCACCTCAAAACCAGGAAAAAAAAATCTCCTAAAAACCAGGGAAAAATCACCGGAAAATCCCAAATTTTGACCCAAAAAACCTCCTAAAAGCCAGGAAAAAATCATTGAAAAATCCCAAATTCTGACCCAAAAAAACAGGAAAAAACCTCCTAAAAACCATGAAAAAACCAGAAAAAATCCCAATTTTTGACCCAAATCCAGGAAAAAACCTCCCAAATTCCAGGAAAAAAATCACCTAAAAATCCAAATTTTTGACCCAAAAAAACCAGGAAAAAATCCCCTAAAAACCCCAATTTTTGACCAAAAAAGCTCCTAAAAACCAGGAAAAATCACCAAAAAATGCCACATTTTGACCCAAAACCAGGAAAAAAAACCACCTAAATTTCAGGAAAAAAATCACCTAAAAATCCAAATTTTTGACCCAAAGAAGCAGAAAAAAACTCCTAAAAACCAGGAAAAAAACAGAAAAAATCCCAATTTTTAACCTAAAAATCCCATTTTTTTTCCCAAAATCCCCAAAATTCACCCCAAAACTCCATCTCACTTATTTCCTTCTTGGCGCTCCCAAATTCTGACCCAAAACAGGAAAAAAACAGGAAAAAATCCCCTAAAAATCGCAAATTTTGACCCAAAATCCCCAATTTTTTTCCCAAAATCACCAAAATTCACCCCAAAACCAGATGTGACCTCCTAAAAACCAGGAAGAAAAATCACCGAAAAATCCCAAATTTTCGACCCAAAAAACCAGAAAAACCCAGAAAAAAACAGGAAAAAATACAGGAAAAAAACCCCTAAAAATCACAATTTTTGACCTAAAAACCCCCAATTTTTTCCCAAAATCCCCAAAATTCACCCCAAATTCCTTTCTCACCGATCTCCTTCCTGGCGCTGGCCTCCATCTCCAGCTCCCCGGCGCGCACTCGGCACGTGAAGGCGACGCCGGCGTTCCAATCCTCGGCGCAGATTTCCAGAACGTTCCGGATCTCGTAGCGGCCGTTGGGGAGGGGCTGGGCGGGGCCGGAAGTGGCCCCGCCCCCGGAAGTGGCCCCGCCCCCGGAAGTGGCCCCGCCCCCGGAAGTGGCCCAGGTGAATTCGGCGTCGGGGGTCGGGAGGTCGGTGGCGACGCAGGTGAGGTTGGGGTGGTTGGAGAGGAAAAGGTCCTGCAGGGTGGGCGGCAGCAGCGACACCGAGGGCTTGGGGGCGGCGGCTGGTTTTGGGGGAAAAAAGGGAGATTTTGGTTAAAAATGGTTTTTTTTGCGAAAAAAATCGGATTTTTTGTGAAAAAATGGTGGTTTTATGGGGAAAAGTTGGGGATTTAGAGGGAGGAAATGGAGGTTGGAGAAGGAATTTTGGAGGTGGGAAAGAATTTGGGTGAAAAAATGGCAATTTTGGGAAAAATCCACATTTTTTACCGGAAAAAAATCGGATTATTCGCAAAAAAAATTGGATTTATTTTGGCAGAAAAAATGGGGGTTTTATGGTGAAAAATTCGGATTTTAGGGGGGGTTTAATGAAGGAAATGGAGGTTGGAGAATGAGTTTTGGGGTTGGATAAAAATTTGGGTGAAAAAACGACGATTTTAGTGAAAAATTGCATTTTTTTGCAAAAAAAATCAGATTATTCGCAAAAAAAATTGTATTTTTTTTGGCAGAAAAAACGGGGGTTTTAGGGGGAAAAGTTGGGGGTTTGGGAGGGGTTTAATGAAGGAGATGGAGGTTGGAGAATGAGTTTTGGGGTTGGAAAAAAATTTGGGTGAAAAAATGAGAATTTTGGTAAAAATTTGCTATTTTTTACTTGAAAAAATGCGATCTTTCGTGAAAATTTGGGGATTTTTTGCAAAAAATTTGGGAATTTATGTGAAAAATTGGGGTTTTAGAGGAAGGAAATGGAGGTTGGAGAAGGAGTTTTGGGGTTGGAAAAAATTTGGGTGAAAAAACGGCAATTTTGGTAAAAAAATGGCATTTTTTGTGAAAAAATTGGATTCGCGAAAAAAATCGTTTTTTTTGCAAAACAAACAGGATTTTCTGGTGAAAAATTAGGGTTTGAGGAGGGGTTTAATGAAGGAGATGGAGGTTAGAGAAGGAATTTTGGGGTTGGATAAAAATTTGGGTGAAAAAATGAGAATTTTGGGAAAAATTTGCGATTTTTTAATTGAAAAAATGCAATTTTTTGTGAAAATCTGGGGTTTTTCACAAAAAAATTGAGTTTATTGGTGAAAAGTTGGGGTTTTAGAGGAAAGAAATGGAGGTTGGAGAAGGAATTTAGGGGTTGGAAGAAAATTTGGGTGAAAAAACGATGATTTTCGGGAAAAAATGTGAAAAAAATGGGATTTTGGTGTTTTTTACGAGGAAAACTGAGAATTTTTGGAGGTTCTTGTGGAAAATTTGATGTAAACCCCAAAATTTTTTGGTTTTTTAGAAGAGGGTCGGGTTGGGCGGGAAAACTTTATAAATTTTAATTCTAAAAAACCCCAAAATCCCCCAAATTCACCCCGAAATCCCCCTCACCTTTACAGAAGGTGCTGATGCTGGCCTCGATGGGCGTGGCCAGGTGGGCGTGGCTTGCCCGGCAGGTGAAGTTGTTCCCTTCGTCCCATTGGCTGCGGCTGACGTTGACGCGGCCGCTCAGGGTCACCTGACCGGCGGCTCCGCCCTCTTGGCAGCTGGAAAGCTCCGCCCCCAACTGGGCGGGGTCGCCGTTGACCAACCAGGTGAGGGCGGCGTCGGCGGCGCCGCGGCCGCGGACTTGGCACAGGAGGTGGACCTGGTTCTGCTCGGGGTGGGCCTGGTTGGGGTCGCTCAGGAGGGAGATGGTGAAGTTGGGGGGCTGGTTGCAACCTGTGGGGAGAGGTGGGGACAGGTGAGGCACAAAAAAATCCCAAAAATGACAAAAAACGGGAAAAAAAATGGCGAAATCCCGGTAGAAATCGAGGTAAGATGGCTGAAAAACGGATTAAAGATGGCGGAAATTGGAGGTGAAGTGGGTGGTGCAAAATGGCGAAAGTTGGAGTCGAGATGGTTGAAATTAAATCCAAAATGGCTGAAATTGGAGCCAATATGGCCGAAAAACGGATTAAAGATGGCTGAAATTGGAGATGAAGTGGGTGGTGCAAAATGGCGGAAGTTGGAGCTGAGATGGTTGAAATTAAATCCAAAATGGCTGAAATTGGAGCCAATATGGCCGAAAATTGGATTCAAGATGGCTGAAAATGGATTGGAAATGGGTGGTTGAAAAATGGCTGAGATTGGAGCCAAAATGGCCGAAAATCGGATTCAAGATGGCTGAAAATGGATGGGAAAGGGGTGGTTGAAAAACGGCTGAAATTGGAGCCAATATGGCCAAAAATGGGATCAAAAATGGCCAATTCAAAATGGCTGAAATTGGATCCAAAATGGCCAAAAATGGATCCAAAATGGCTGATCCAAAATGGCTGAAATTTGATCCAAAATGGCTGAAAATTGAACTAAAATGGCCGAAATTGGAGCCAAAATGGCTGAAAATGGATCCAAAATGGCTGAAATTGGATCCAAAATGGCTGAAAATTGATCTAAAATGGCTGAAATTGGATTCAAAATGGCCAACCCAAAAGGGCTGAAAATGAAGCCAAGATGACTGAAATTGGAGCCAAAATGGCTGAAAATTGATAGAAAATGTCCAAAAATGGATCTAAAATGGCTGAAAATTGATCTAAAATGGCTGAAATTAGATAAAACAATGGCCAATCCAAAATGGCTGAAAATGGAGCCAAAATGGCTGAAAATTGATGGAAAATAGCCAAAAATGGATCCAAAATGGCTGAAATGGGATCCAAATTGGCCGATCCAAAATGGCTGAAATTGGATCCAAAATGGCTGAAAATGGATCCAAAATGGCTGAAAATTGACTTAAAATGGCTGAAATGGGATCAAAAATGGCCGATTCAAAATGGCTGAAATTGGATCAAAGATGGTTGAAAAGTGAAGCCAAAATGGCTGAAAATGGAGCCAAAATGGCTGAAAATGGATCCAAAATGGCCGATCCAAAATGGCTGAAAATGGATCAAAATTGGCCGAACCAAAATGGCTGAAAATGAAGACAAGATGGCCAAAAATGGGATTGAAAATGGCCGATCCAAAATGGCTGAAATTGGAGACAAAATGGCCAAAATTGGATCCAAAATGGCTGAAAATTGAACTAAAATGGCTGAAATGGGTTTAAAAATGGCTGATCCAAAATGGCTGAAAATGGAGCCAAAATGGCTGAAAATTGATCTAAAATGATTGAAAATTGATTCAAAATGGCTGAAAATGGATCCAAAATGGCCGATCCAAAATGGCTGAAATTGGATCCAAGATGGCCAAAGTTGGAGCCAAAATTACTGAAAATAGATCCAAAATGGCTGAAAATTGATCCAAAATGGCTGAAAATTGATCTAAAATGGCTGAAATTAGATAAAACAATGGCCAATCCAAAATGGCTGAAAATGGAGCCAAAATGGCTGAAAATTGATGGAAAATAGCCAAAAATGGATCCAAAATGGCTGAAATGGGATCCAAATTGGCCGATCCAAAATGGCTGAAAATGAAGACAAGATGGCTGAAATGGGATCCAAAATGGCCGATCCAAAATGGCTGAAATTAGAAACAAGATGGCCAAAATTGGAGCCAAAATTACTGAAAATAGATCCAAAATGGCTGAAAATTGATCCAAAATGGCTGAAAATTGACTTAAAATGGCTGAAATGGGATCAAAAATGGCTGATCCAAAATGGCTGAAATTGGACCCAAAATGGCCAAAAATGGATCCAAAATATCTGAAAATTGAGCCAAAATGGCGGAAATTTGTTCTAAATGGCCCCAAAATTACTCAAGTGTCCCCAAATGTCCCCAAAACCCCCAAAACGTCCCCAAACCCCCAAAAAATCCCCAAAACCCCCAAAAACGTCCCCAAAACCCCAAAAAAATCCCCAAAACCCCCAAAAAATCCCCAAAACCCACCAAAACAATACCGAAAACCCCCTCAAAAAAATACCCAGAATCCACCCCAAAAAATCCCCAAAACCCCCCAAAAAATCCCCAAAACCCCCCCAAAAAAATCCCCAAAACCCACCCCAAAAAATCCCCAAAACCCCCCAAAAAAATCCCCAAAACTTACCCCAAAAAATCCCCAAAATCCACCAAAAAATCCCCAAAACCCCCTCCAAAAAATCCCCAAACCCCCCAAAAAATCCCCAAAACCCCCCAAACATCCCCAAAACCCCCAAAAAATCCCCAAAACCCCCAAAAAAATCCCCTAAACCCCCAAAACAATCCCCAAAACCCCCAAAAAAATCCCCAAAACCCCCAAAAAATCCCCAAAACCCCCAAAAAAATCCCCAAAACCCCCAAAAAAATCCCCAAAACCCCAAAAATGTCCCCAAAACCCCCAAAAAATCCCCAAAACCCCCAAAAAATCCCCAAAACCCCCAAAAACGTCCCCAAAACCCCCAAAAAATCCCCAAAACCCCCAAAAAATTCCCCAAAACCCCCAAAAACGTCCCCAAAACCCCCAAAAAATCCCCAAACCCCCAAAAAATCCCCAAAACCCCAAAAAAATCCCAAAACCCCCAAAAAATCCCCAAAACCCCCAAAAAAATCCCCAAAACCCCCAAAAAATCCCCAAAACCCCCAAAAAAATCCCCAAAACCCCCAAAAAAATCCCCAAAACCCCAAAAATGTCCCCAAAACCCCCAAAAAATCCCCAAAACCCCCAAAAAAATCCCCAAAACCCCCAAAAAACGTCCCCAAAACCCCCAAAAAATCCCCAAAACCCCCAAAAATCCCCAAAACCCCCAAAAAATCCCCAAAACCCCCAAAAAAATCCCCAAAACCCCCAAAAAATCCCCAAAAACCCCAAAAAATCCCCAAAAAATCCCCAAACCCCCAAAAAAATCCCCAAAACCCCCAAAAAATCCCCAAAACCCCCAAAAACGTCCCCAAAACCCCCAAAAAATCCCCAAAACCCCCAAAAAATCCCCAAAACCCCCAAAAAAATCCCCAAAACCCCCAAAAAATCCCCAAAACCCCCAAAAAATCCCCAAAACCCCCAAAAAATCCCCAAAACCCCCAAAAAAATCCCCAAAACCCCCAAAAAAATCCCCAAAACCCCAAAAATGTCCCCAAAACCCCCAAAAAATCCCCAAAACCCCCAAAAAATCCCCAAAACCCCCAAAAACGTCCCCAAAACCCCCAAAAAATCCCCAAAACCCCCAAAAAATCCCCAAAACCCCCAAAAACGTCCCCAAAACCCCCAAAAAATCCCCAAAACCCCCAAAAAATCCCCAAAACCCCCAAAAAAATCCCCAAAACCCCCAAAAAAATCCCCAAAACCCCCAAAAACGTCCCCAAAACCCCCAAAAAATCCCCAAAACCCCCAAAAAATCCCCAAAACCCACCAAAAAAATCCCAAAAACCCCCCAAAAAAATCCCCAAAACCCACCCAAAAAATACCGAAAACCCCCCAAAAAAATCCCCAAAACCCCCAAAACGTCCCAAAAACCCCCCAAAAAATCCCCAAAACCCCCAAAAACGTCCCCAAAACCCCCAAAAAATCCCCAAAACCCCCAAAAAATCCCCAAAACCCCCAAAAAATCCCCAAAACCCCTCCAGGTGTCGCTCACCATTCACGTCGACGCCGAAACTTTTGCCGTAATGCTCCACCCGGCACTGGAATTTTTGGTCTTTGGCCTCGGCGGCGCCGAGGGTGACGCGGGAGCTCCGCCCGAACTTGGCCCCGCCCACCGGAAGTTCCGGAAAGTTCCGGTTGTGGTCGGCGGCGGCGCCGTCCCAGGAGATCTGCGCCGGTTGAGGGAAAAATCCGGCGGCGAAGCAGCCGAAGGTCACCTGGTCCTGACAATCCTCGCAGGAGTAAAGCGGGAAAACGTCCGGGGAGTGGGCGGGGTCTGCATAATAATGAGGGTGATTAGCATAGACACGCCCATGGATGGGGAAAAAATTCTGAGTAAAAAATGCCCAAAAAAACCCAAAAAAAACCCCCAAAAATGCAAAATTTTGGGTTAAAGTTGGATTCAAGATGGCCGAAATGGATCCAAAATGGCTGAAATTGGAGCCAAGATGGCCAAAAATGGGTCCAAGATGACCAATTCAAAATGGCTGAAATTGGAGCCAAAATGGCTGAAATTGGAGCCAAGATGGCCAAAAATTGATCCAAAATGGCCAAAAATGGATCCAAAATGGCCGATCCAAAATGGCTGAAATTGGACCCAAAATGGCTGAAATTGGAGCCAAGATGGCCAAAAATGGGTCCAAGATGACCAATCCAAAATGGCTGAAATTGGATCCAAAATGGCCAAAAATGGATCCAAAATGGCTGATCCAAAATGGCTGAAATTGAGAGCCAAAATGGCCGAAAAGCTGATCCAATATGGCTGAAATGGGAACCAAAATGGCCGATCCAAAATGGCTGAAATTGGATTCAAAATGGCTGCCCCAGAATGGCTGAAATTGGATTCAAGATGGCCGAAATTGGATTCAAAATGGCTCAAATTTGATCCAAAATGGCTGAAATGGGAACCAAAATGGCTGAAATTTGATCCAAAATGACTGAAATTTGATCCAAAATGGCCAAAATTGGATTTAAAATGGCTGATCTAAAATGGCTGAAATTGGAGCCAAAATGGCCAAAATGGCCGACCCAAAATGGCTAAAATTGGATTCAAAATGGCCAAAAATGGATCCAAAATGGCTGATCCAAAATGGCTGAAATTGGAGCCAAAATGGCTGAAATTGGATTCAAAATGGCTGATCCAAAATGGCTGAAATTGGAGCCAAAATGGCTGATCCAAGATGGCCAAAATGGATCCAAAATGGCTGAAATTGGATTCAAAATGGCCAAAAATGGATCCAAGATGACCAATCCAAAATGGCTGAATTTGAGCCAAAAGGGCTTAAATTGGAGCCAAAATGGCTGATCCAAGATGGCCAAAATGGATCCAAAATGGCCAAAAATGGATCCAAAATGGCCAAAAATGGATCCAAGATGGCCGACATTGGAGCCAAAATGGATGATTCAAGATGGCTGAAATTGGGAGCCAAAATTGCCGAAAATCTGATCCAAAATGGCTGAAATGGGAACCAAAATGGCCGATCCAAAATGGCTGAAATTGGAGCCAAAATGGCCGATCCAAAATGGCTGAAAACCTGATCCAAAATGGCTGAAATGGGAACCAAATTGGCTGATCCAAAATGGCTGAAATTGGATCCAAGATGGCCAAAAATGGGTCCAAGATGGCCAATCCAAAATGGCTGAAATTGGAGCCAAAATGGACGAAATTGGAGCCAAAATGGCTGACCCAAGATGGCCAAAATGGATCAAAAATGGCTGATCCAAAATGGCTGAAATTGGATCCAAAATGGCCAAAATTGGATCCAAAATGGCCAAAAATCCAATCCAAGATGGCTGAAATCAGACACAATATGGCTGAAATCCTCACAGGAGTAGAGCGGGAAAACATCCGGGGAGTGGGCGGGGTCTGCATGGAAATGAGGGTGATTAGCATAGACACGCCCATGGCTGGGAAAAAAAATCCTGAGTAAAAAATGCCCAAAAAAACCAAAAAAAACCCCCAAAAATGCAAAATTTTGGGCTCAAGTTGGATTCAAGATGGCTGAAATTGGATTCAAAATGGCTGATCCAAAATGGCTGAAATTGGAGCCAAAATGGTTGAAATTGGAACCAAAATGGCCGATCCAAGATGGCCAAAATGGATCCAAAATGGCTGAAATTGGAGCCAAAATGGTTGAAATTGGAACCAAAATGGCCGATCCAAGATGGCCCAAATGGATCCAAAATGGCTGAAATTGGATTCAAAATGGCTGATCCAAAATGGCTGAAATTGGATTCAAAATGGCCGATAATGGATCCAAAATGGCTGAAATGGGATCCAAGATGGCCGAAAATCTGATCCAAAATTGTTAAAAATTAACCCAAAATTGCTGATCCAAAATGGCTGAAACTGGACTCAAAATGGCCGAAAATCCGATCCAAAATGGCCGAAAATTAACCCAAAATAGCCGATCCAAAATGGCTGAAATTAGATCCAAGATGGTTGAAATTGGCTCCAAAATGGCCAAAAATTAACCCAAAATGGCCGATCCAAAATGGCCGAAATTGGACTCAAAATGGCCGATCCAAAATGGCCGAAAATCCAATCCAAGATGGCCAAAATTGGATCCAAAATGGCCAAAAATGGATCCAAAATGGCCGATCCAAAATGGCTGAAAATCGAATCCAAGATGGCCGAAATTGGCTCCAAAATGGCCAAAAATTAACCCAAAATGGCTGATCCAAAATGGCTGAAATTGGATTCAAAATGGCCTAAAATGGGTCCAAAATGGCTGAAATTGGATCCAAAATGGCCGATCCAAAATGGCCAAAAATCCAATCCAAGATGGCCGAAATTGGCTCCAAAATGGCCAAAAATTAACCCAAAATGGACGATCCAAAATGGCCAAAAATTAACCCAAAATGGCCGATCCAAAATGGCCGAAATTGGCTCCAAAATGGCCGAAAATTAACCCAAAATGGCCGATCCAAAATGGCCAAAAATTAACCCAAAATGGCCAATCCAAAATGGCCGAAAATTAACCCAAAATGGCCAAAAATTAACCCAAAATGGCTGATCCAAAATGGCCAAAAATTAACCAAAAATGGCCAAAAATTAACCCAAAATGGCCGATCCAAAATGGCCAAAATTGGAACCAAAATGGCCAAAAATTAACCCAAAATGGCCGATCCAAAATGGCCGAAAATTGGACCCAAAATGGCCAAAAATTAACCCAAAATGGCCAAAAATTAACCCAAAATGGCCGAAAAACTCCAGGAGAAAACAACAGACAAAAGTGGGCGTGGCCACAGACCTAATTTGCATAATCGAGGCCACACCCCCACCAAAAATTACCAAAAACCCCAAAAAAACCCAAAAAACCCCCAAAAAACCCCCAAAAAAATAAAATCCAAGATGGCCGCCGCAAAATGGCGGGAAAAAGGGGGTGGGCGTGGCTTATTCATGGCGGGAAAACCCCTTAATTTGCATATTTTAGGCCACGCCCCCGACCGAGAACCGAAAAAAGCCGAAAAACCACAAAAAAGGCGAAAAAGGGGAAATCGAAACTTCCGGTCTGGCCCCGCCCCGTCTGGGAGTGACGTCATCGGTGACGTCATCAGGCCACGCCCCCCAGGTGAGAGCAGCCGGAGCCAGGTGAGGATTGGGGAGAATTTGGGGGGTTTTGGGCAAATTTGGGCCATTTTTGGGGATTTTTGGGCATTTTGGGTAAATTTGGGAGGATTTTTGTGATTTTGGGTAAATTCTGGGGATTTTGGGGCGATTTTTGGTGATTTTGGGCAAATTTGGGAGGATTTTTGCAATTTTGTGCAATTTTGGGGTGATTTTTTGCAATTTTGGGCAAATTTGGGAGGATTTTTGCAATTTTGAGCAATTTTGGGAGGATTTTTGTGATTTTGGGCAAATTTTGGTGATTTTGGGGCGATTTTTGGTGATTTTGGGGCGATTTTTGGAGGTTTTGGGGCGATTTTTGGGGATTTTGGGGCAAATTTGGGAGGATTTTTGTAATTTTGGACAAATTTGGGCGATTTGGGGTAAATTTGGGAGGATTTTTGCAATTTTGGGCAAATTTGGAGATTTTTTGCAATTCTGGGCAAATTTAGGCAATTTTGGCCATTTTTGGGGATTTTGGGGCAAATTTGGGAGGATTTTTGTAATTTTGGACAAATTTGGGCGATTTTGGGGTGATTTTTGGTGATTTTGGGCAAATTTGGCCATTTTGGGGGTTTTGGGGCGATTTTTGGTGATTTTGGGCAATTTTGGACAAATTTGGGGATTTGGGGCAAATTTGGGAGGATTTTTGCAATTTTGGATAAATTTTGGTGATTTTGGGGCAATTTTTGGCAATTTTGGGCAAATTTTGGAGGATTTTTGCTATTTTGGACAAATTTGGGCATTTTTTGGGCAAATTTGGGCAATTTTAGGGCGATTTTTGGCAATTTTGGGCAAATTTCTGAGGTTTTTTGCAATTTTGGGCAAATTTGGGCAATTTTGGCAATTTTGGGTAAATTTGGGAGGATTTTTGCAATTTTTGGGCAAATTTGGGAGGATTTTTTGCAATTTTGGACAAATTTGGGCAATTTTGGGGCAATTTTTGGGGGTTTTGGGGCGATTTTTGGTGATTTTGGGGCCATTTTTGGGGGGTTTGGGGCGATTTTGGGCAAATTTGGGCAAATTTGGGAGGATTTTTGAAATTTTGGGCAAATTTGGGCGATTTTGGGGCAATTTTGGCAAATTTTGGCAATTTTGGGAGGATTTTTGTGATTTTGGGTAAATTTTGGTGATTTGGGGCAACTTTTGGTAATTTTGGGCAAATTTGGGAGGATTTTTCTGATTTTGGATAAATTTTGGTGATTTTGGGGTGATTTTTGGAGGTTTTGGGGCGATTTTTGGGGATTTTGGGCAAATTTGGGAGGATTTTTGTGATTTTGGACAAATTTGTGCGATTTTGGCCATTTTTGGCAATTTTGGGGTGAATTTGGCCAATTTTGAGCAAATTTGGGAGGATTTTTGTAATTTTGAAAAAATTTGGGCGATTTTGGGGCGATTTCTGGTGATTTGGGGGTGATTTTTGGTGATTTTGGGCAATTTGGGGCAAATTTGGGAGGATTTATGTAATTTTGGACAAATTTGGGCAAATTTTGGGGATTTTTGGGTGATTTTTTGTATTTTTGGGGAAATTTGGGAGGATTTTTGTAATTTTGTGCAAATTTGGGTGATTTTGGGGCATATTTGGGGATTTTGGGGCAATTTTTGGTGATTTTGGGCAATTTTGGACAAATTAGGGGATTTGAGGCAAATTTGGGCAATTTTTGGGGGTTTTGGGGCGATTTTTGGTAATTTTGGGCAAATTTGGGAGGATTTTTGCAATTTTGGGCAAATTTGGGCAATTTTGGGGCCATTTTTAGGGCTTTTGGGGCAATTTTGGGCAATTTTGGGCAAATTTGGGAGGATTTTTGTAATTTTGGGCGAATTTGGGCAATTTGGGGGCGATTTTGGGGCAATTTTTGGAGGTTTTGGGGTGATTTTTGGCAATTTTGGGTGAATTTGGGAGGAATTTTGCAATTTTGGGAAAATTTGGGTTATTTTGGGGTGATTTTTGGGGATTTTGGTAATTTTGGGCAAATTTGGGAGGATTTTTGTAATTTTGGGTAAATTTTGGTGATTTTGGGGCAATTTTTTGGGGTTTTGGAGCAATTTTGGGTGGTTTTGGGCAAATTTGGGAGGATTTTTGTAATTTTGGGCAAATTTGGGTGATTTTTGGTGATTTGGGGCAATTTTGGACAAATTTGGGAGGATTTTTGTAATTTTGGATAAATTTTGGTGATTTTGGGGCAATTTTTGCTGATTTTGGGGCGATTTTTGGTAACTTTTGCAAATTTGGGAGGATTTTTGCAATTTTGGGCAATTTTGGGTAAATTTCTGGTGATTTTGGGGTGAATTTTGGGGATTTTGGGCAATTTTGGGTTTTTGGGCAATTTTGGGCAAATTTGGGGGGATTTTTGCAATTTTGGACAAATTTGGGCAATTTTGGGTGATTTTGGGGCGTTTTTGGACAAATTGGAGTAAATTTGGGGCAATTTTGGGGCAATTTTTGACAATTTTGGGGCAAAGTCGGGCGATTTGAGGGAAATTTTTGGGGTGATTTTTGACAATTTTGGGCAATTTTGAGGCGATTTTCAGCAATTTTGGGGTGACTTTGGGTGATTTTGGGAAAATTTGGGCAATTTTCTGTAATTTTGAGGCAATTTTGGACAAATTTTGGGTGATTTTGGGGCAATTTTCAGTGATTTTGGGGCGATTTTTGGTGATTTGGGGCAAATTTGGGGCAATTTTTGTCATTTTTGGGCAGTTTTGGACAAATTTTAGGAAATTCTGAGGTGATTTTTGGCTATTTTGGGACATTTTGGGTCAATTTTTTGTGATTTTGGACAAATTTGGGGCAATTTGGACAATTTTTGGCAATTTTGGGGTGATTTGGGGCAATTTTCAGAAATTTCGGGGCGATTTTTGGTGATTTGGGGTAAATTTTGGACAATTTTGGATAATTTTGGGCAATTTGGGGATTTTTGGAGTTTTAGGCTCAGTTTTGGGGTGAATTTTGGGGATTTTGGGTCTAAACTCGGATTTACCAAAGCCTCACCTGGGCTGGGCTCACCTGAGGCATTTTTGGGTTAAATTTCTTAAATTTTGGGCAATTTTATGTAAATTTGGGGCAATTTTGGGCAATTTTTGGCAATTTTGGGAATTTTTGGAGCTTTAGGCTCAGTTTTGGGGTGAATTTTGGAGATTTTGGGTCTAAATTCGGATTTACCAAAGCCTCACCTGGGCTGGGCTCACCTGAGAAGATTTTGGGGTAAGTTTTGTGATTTTTGGGCAATTTTGGGTGAATTTTGGGTAAATTTTCGTCAATTTTGGTGGAAATTTGGGGGATTTTGAGATTTAAGCTGTTTTGGGGTGAATTTTTGGGATTTTGGGCAATTTTTGGGCACTTTTGGGATTTTTTTTTGAGCTTTAGGCTCCATTTTGGGTTGAATTTTGGGGATTTTGGGCAATTTGGAGAAATTTTGGGCAAATTTTGGTTTGTTTTTTTTTTTTTTTAATTTAAGCTCAGTTTTGGGGTGAATTTTGGGGGGAATTTTGGGGGAATTTGGGGAATCTGGGGCAATTTGGAGGATTTTGGGGAATTTGGGGGGAATTTTGGGGATTTTCAGAAATTTTGAACCATTTTTAGGGAGTTTGGGGGAATTTGGGGAAATTTTGGTAATTTTCAGGAATTTTGGGGAATTTTGGGGAATTTGGGGGATTTTGAAGAAATTTTGGGGAAATTTGTTGCAGTTTGGGGAATTTTGGGGAATTTGTGGGAATTTGTAGGAATTTTGGTAATTTTCAGGAATTTGGAGGAATTTTGGGGAATTTGGGGGAATTTGGGGGAATTTTTGGGGAATTTTGGGAATTTTCACGAATTTGGGGGGAAATTTTGGGGAATTTGTTGAATTTTGGGGAATTTTGGGGGAATTGGGGGTAATTTGGGGAATTTTGAGAAATTTGGGGAATTTTGTGAGAATTTTGGTAATTTTCAGGAATTTTGGGGAATTTTGAGGAGTTTGGGTGAATTTGGGGGGAATTTTGGGGAATTTGTTGAATTATGGGGGGATTTTGGGAATTTTCAGGATTTTTGGGGCATTTTAGGCAATTTTTGGGGTATTTTGGTAATTTTTAGGAATTTTGGGGAATTTTGAGGAATTTGGGGGAATTTGGGGGGAATTTGGGGGAATTTGTTGAATTTTGGGGAATTTTGGTGAATTTTGGGGGGAATTTAGGGGGAGATTTTGGGGAATTATTTTGGTGGATTTTGGCGGAATTTGGGGGAATTTTGGGGGGAATTTGAGGGGAAATTTTGGGGATTTTTGGGGGGAATTTTGGGGAATTTTTTAAATTTTGGGCGGTTTTGGGGGGGGAGGGGCTGGGCTTAAAAACCTTCCCAGTTTGGACCAGTCCAGACCAGTTTAAACCAGTCCAAACCAGTTTAGACCAGTTTAGGACCAGTCCCAGCCCCTCCATTCCCAGTTTAAACCAGTTTGGACCAGTCCAAACCAGTCCAGCCCAGCTTAAACCAGTTTAGGACCAGTTTAGACCAGTTTAGACCAGTTTGGACCAGTCCATCCCAGCTTAAACCAGTTTAGGACCAGTTCAGACCAGTTTAGACCAGTTTAGACCAGTCCCAGCTCCACCATTCCCAGTTTAAACCAGTTTGGACCAGTCCAGCCCAGCTTAAACCAGTTCAGGACCAGTTTAAACCAGTTTAGACCAGTTTAGACCAGTCCCAGCCCCACCATTCCCAGTTTAAACCAGTTCAGACCAGTCCAAACCAGTCCAGCCCAGCTTAAACCAGTTTAGGACCAGTTTAAACCAGTCCAAACTAGTCCAGCCCAGCTTAAACCAGTTTAGGACCAGTTTAAACCAGTTTAGACCAGTTTAGGACCAGTCCCAGCTCCACCATTCCCAGTTTAAACCAGTTTAGACCAGTCCAAACCAGTCCAGCCCAGTTTAAACCAGTTTAGGACCAGTTCAGACCAGTTAAAACCAGTTTAGACCAGTCCCAGCCCCACCATTCCCAGTTTAAACCAGTTTAGACCAGTCCAAACCAGTCCAGCCCAGCTAAAACCAGTTTAGGACCAGTTTAGACCAGTTTAGACCAGTTTAGACCAGTCCCAGCCCCACCATTCCCAGTTTAGACCAGTCCAAACCAGTCCAGCCCAGCTTAAACCAGTTTACGACCAGTTTAAACCAGTTCAGACCAGTCCAAACCAGTCCAGCCCAGCTTAAACCAGTTTAGGACCAGTTCAGACCAGTTTAGGACCAGTCCCATCCCCGCCATTCCCAGTTTAAACCAGTTCAGACCAGTCCAAACCAGCTTAAACCAGTTTAGGACCAGTTCAGACCAGTTCAGACCAGTTTAGACCAGTTTAGGACCAGTTTAAACCAGTCCAAACCAGTTCAGACCAGTCCAGACCAGTTTAAACCAGTTTAAACCGGTTTAAACCAGTTTAGGACCAGTTTAAACCAGTCCAGACCAGTTTAGGCCCAGTCCCAGTTCCCAGACCCCCAAAATTTCCCCAAAAAAACCCCAAAAAATCCCCCAAAAGTTTCCCCCAAAATCCCAAAAATTTCCCCCAAAAATTTCCCCCAAAATCCCCAAAAATTCCCCCAAAAATTTCCCCCAAAATCCCCAAAAATTTCCCCTAAAAATTTCCCCAAAATTTCCCCCCCCAAAATTCCCCAGAATTCCCCGATTTCCTCAAAACCCCCAAAATTTTCCAGAATTTTCCCCAAATCCCCCAAATTTTCAAAATTTTCCCCAAAATTCTTTTAAATTACAAAAATTTCCCCCAAATTCTCCAAAATCTTTCCCAAAATTAAAGAAAAATCCCCCAAAATTCCCCCAAATTTTCCCTTTTTTCCCCAAAATTGAAAAAAAATCCCCAAAAAACCCCAAAATCCCCAAAATTTTCCAAATATTTCCCCAAATTCCTTCAAAATTCCCAAAATTCCCCCAAAATTCCCCAAATTCCCCCAAATTCCCCCCAAATTCCCCCCAAATCCCCCAAATCCCCCAAATTCCCCCAAATTCCCCCAAAATTTTCCAAATATTTCCCCAAAATTTCCTCCAAATTTCCCAAAATGCCAAAAATTTTTGAAACATTTCCCCAAAATCCCCCAAATTTTCCCAAATTTCCCCAAAATTAAAATAAAATAAAAAAAATTTCTCCAAATTTTCACAAATTTCCCCCAAAATTTAAAAAAAAAAATCCCCAAAAAATCCCCAAATTTTCCCAATTTTCCCCAAAATAAAAAAAATCCCCCCAAAAATCCCCAAATTTCCCCAAAATTCCCCAAATTCCCCCAAATTTTCCAAATATTTCCCCAAAATTTCCTCCAAATTTCCCAAAACGCCGAAAAATTTTGAAACATTTCCCCAAAATTCCCCAAATTTCCCCAAAATTCAAAAAAAACCAAAAAATCCCCAAATTTTCCCAAATTTCCCCAAAATCCCCCAAAAAATCCCCAAAATTTCACAAATTTCCCCAAAATTCAAAAAAAATCCCCAAAAATCCCCAAATTCCCCAAATTTCCCCAAAATTAAAAAAAAATCCCCCCAAAATCCCCAAATTCCCCCAAAAATCCCCCAAAAATCCCCAAAATTTCGGAATCTTTGCAGGTGGCTCCTGATTGGCTCCCGGCCGGATCCGCTCGCTCCTGATTGGCTCCCGGCCGGATCCCGCGGTTCCTGATTGGCTGCGGCCCTGGGGGGGAAATTTGGGGTGAAAAAGGGGAAAATTGGGGGGGAAGAGACAAAAAATTGGGAATTTTGGGAGGGAAATTTGGGGGGAAATGGTGAAAAATGAAAATTTTGGGAATTTTGGGGTGAAAAGGTCAAAAAATGGTCAAAAAATGGTCAAAAAAAGGTCGAAAATTGGCCAAAAAATGGGATTTTTGGGAGGGAATTTTGGGTAAAAAAAAGTCCAAAAATGGGAATTTTGAGGAGGGAAATTTGGGGGAAAATTTGGTTGGAAATGGTGAAAAATGGGAATTTTGGGAATTTTGGGGTGAAAAGGTCAAAAAAAGGTCAAAAAATGGTAAAAAATTGCCCAAAAAATGGGATTTTGGGAGGGAATTTTGGGAAAAAAAATGTCCAAAAATGGGAATTTTGAGGAGGGAAATTTGGGGGGAAATGGTGAAAAATGGGAATTTTGGGGTGAAAAGGTCGAAAAATGTTCAAAAATTGGCCAAAAAATGGGAATTTTGGGGGAAAATTAGGTAAAAAATGTCCAAAAAATGGAATTTTGGGGGAAATTTGGGAAAAAATGGGCAAAAATTGTTGAAAATGGGAATTTTAGGAGGAAATTTGGGATAAAATGGTAAAAAATGGCCAAAAATAGGAATTTTTGGGAAAAAAGGGGCAAAAATGGTGAAAAATTGGATTTTTTTGGGAAATTTGGGGTGAAATGACCCAAAAATGTCCAAAAAATTGGAATTTTGGGGGGAAATTTGGGACAAAATGGCCCCAAAATGTCCCAAAAAAGGGAATTTTAGGGGGGGAAATTTGGGATAAAATGGTAAAAAATGTGCCAAAAAATGGGAATTTTGGGATAAAATGGTAAAAAAATGTGCCAAAAAATGGGAATTTTGGGGGGAAATTTGGGATTAAATGGTGAAAAAATGTGCCAAAAAATGGGAATTTTGGGATAAAATGGTAAAAAAAAAGTGCCAAAAAATGGGAATTCTGGGGGGAAATTTGGGATAAAATGGCAAAAAAAAGTGTCACAAAAATGGGAATTTTTTGGGGAAATTTGGGATAAAACGTTAAAAAATGTGCCAAAATTAGAATTTTTGGGGAGAAATGGTGAAAAACTTCCCAAAAACTCCCAAAAAATTGAATTTTGGGACAAAATGGTGAAAATTATCCCTAAAAAAGTGCCAAAAAATGGGAATTTTGGGATAAAATGGTAAAAAAATGTTGCAAAAAATGGGAATTTTGGGGGGAAATTTGGGATAAAATTGTGAAAAAATGTGCCAAAAAATGGGAATTTTGGGTGGAAATTTGGAACAAAAATGGTAAAAAAAAGGTGCCAAAAAATGGGAATTTTGGGGGGAAATTTGGGATGAAATGGTAAAAAAAGGTCACAAAAAATGGGAATTTTGGGATAAAATGGTAAAAAATGTGCAAAAAAATGGGAATTTTGGGGGGAAATTTGGGAAAAAATGGCCAAATTTTGGCAAAAAAAAATGGAATTTTGGTAGGGAAATTTGGGGTGAAAATATCCCAAAAATTGGAATTTTTGGGGGGGAAATTTGGGATAAAATGGTAAAAAAAAGTCGCAAAAAAATGGGAATTTTGGGATAAAGTGGTAAAAAAATGTGCCAAAAAATGGGAATTTTGGGGGGAAATTTGGGATAAAATGGTAAAAAATGTGCCGAAAAATGGGAATTTTGGGATAAAATGGTAAAAAAAATGTGCCAAAAAATGGGAATTTTGGGGGGAAATTTGGGATAAAATGGTGAAAAAAAGTGCCAAAAAATGGGAATTTTGGGATAAAATGGTAAAAAAAATGTGCCAAAAAATGGGAATTTTGGGGGGAAATTTGGGATAAAATGGTAAAAAAAATGTGCCAAAAAATGGGAATTTTGGGGGTAAATTTGGGATAAAATGGTAAAAAAAAATGTGCGAAAAAATGGGAATTTTGGGGGTAAATTTGGGATAAAATGGTAAAAAAATGTGGCAAAAAAGGGGAATTTTGGGGGGAAAGTTGGGACAAAACGGCCAAATTTGGGCTAAAAAAAATGGGAATTTTGGGGGGAAATTTGGAATGAGATGGTAAAAAAAATGTGCAAAAAAATGGGAATTTTGGGATAAAATGTTAAAAAATGTCAAAAAAAAAATGGGAATTTTGGGGGGGAAATTTGGGATAAAATGGCAAAAAAAAGTGCCAAAAAAAGGGAATTTTGGGGAGAAATTTAGGATAAATCGGTAAAAAAAAGGTGTCAAAAAATGGGAATTTTGGGGGGAAAATTTGGGATAAAATGGTAAAAAAAAGTGTCAAAAAATGGGAATTTTGGGGGGGAAATTTGGGATGAAATGGCAAAAAAAAGTGTCACAAAAATGGGAATTTTTGGGGAAAATTTGGGAAAACTTCCAAAAAACTCCCAAAAATGTGAATTTTGGCACAAAAGGGTGAAAATCCTCCCTAAAAAGTGCCCAAAAAATCCCAAAAAAGTCAAAAAAATCCCAAATATGTCCCAAAAATGGGAATTTTGGGGGAAATTTGGGATTAAATGGTGGAAAATTTGCAATTTTGGGAGGGAAATTTGGGCTGAAATGACCCAAAAATGGGAAATTTTGGGACGAAATGGTGAAAAAATCCTCCCCAAAAATATCCCAAAAAATGGGAATTTTGGGGGGAAATTTGGGATAAAATGGTAAAAAAAAGCGCCAAAAAATGGGAATTTTGGGAGGGAAATTTGGGATAAAAATATCCCAAAAATTGGAATTTTTTGGGGGGGAAATTTGGGACAAAATGGCCAAATTTTGGCTAAGAAATGGGAATTTTGGGGGGGAAATTTGGGATGAAATGGTAAAAAAAAATGTGTGAAAAAATGGGAATTTTGGGATAAAACGGTAAAAAAAAGGTCGCAAAAATTAGAATTTTGGGGGGAAATTTGGGAAAACTTCCAAAAAACCTCCCAAAAATATGAAATTTAGGACAAAAGGTGAAAATCCTCCCCAAAAAGTGCCAAAAAAGGGAAATTTTGGGTAAATTTTGGGGGATTTTTGGGCGATTTTGGGGGCGCACTTCCGGGTTTAGCCACCGGGGGGCGCTCGAGGACTGTGATTGGTGGAGGTGGAAAAGGGGCGGGGCTAAAGCGGAAAGGGGCGGGGTTAAAGGAAATGGGCGTGGCCAAAAGGGGGCGGAGCTTAGGGGGCAGCGGGAGCCGCGATGGGGCAGGTGAGGGGCAGATGTGGGGCAGGATTTGGGATCTATGGGGCGGATTTGGGATCTATGGGGCAGAAATTTGGGATCTATGGGGCAGAAATTTGGGGTCCATGGGTCGATCTATGGGGCTGGGAATGGGGTTTGGGGTCGGTTATGGGGCAGGATTTGGGATCTATGGGGCGGATTTGGGATCTGTGGGCCAGATTTGGGATCTGTGGGGCGGATTTGGGATCTATGGGGCGGATTTGGGATCTATGGGGCGGATCCATGGGGCAGGGGGTCCCCAGCTGTACTGTAGGGTCCGTATAGAGCAGGCGGATCTATGGGGTGGATTTGGGATCTATGGGGCGGATTTGGGATCTATGGGGCAGATTTGGGATCTGTGGGGCAGAAATTTGGGATCTATGGGGCAGAATTTGGGATCTGTGGGGCGGATCTATGGGGCGGATTTGGGATCTATGGGGCGGATTCGGGATCTATGGGGCAGAAATTTGGGATCTATGGGGCAGATTTGGGATCTATGGGGCGGATTTGGGGATCTATGGGGCGGATTTGGGATCTGTGGGGCAGAATTTGGGATCTGTGGGGCAGATTTGGGATCTATGGGGCGGATTTGGGATCTGTGGGGCGGATTTGGGATCTGTGGGGCGGATTTGGGATCTGTGGGGCAGATTTGGGATCTGTGGGGCGGATTTGGGATCTATGGGGCGGATTTGGGATCTGTGGGGCGGATCTATGGGGCGGATTTGGGATCTATGGGGCGGGGATGGATCTATGGGGCAGCGGTGCCTAAGCTGTTCCTATAGAGCAGAGGGATCTATGGGGCGGATTTGGGATCTATGGGGCAGACCCGAATTTATGGGGCAGGACTGGGATCTATAGGGCAGGATTTGGGATCTCTGGGGCGGATCTATGGGGCAGATTTGGGATCTGTGGGGCGGATCTATGGGGCGGATCTATGGGGCAGGCGGATCTATGCTGTTCCTATAGAGCAGGCGGATCTATGGGGTGGATCTATGGGGCGGATTTGGGATCTATGGGGCGGATTTGGGATCTGTGGGGCGGATTTGGGATCTATGGGGCAGATTTGGGATCTATGGGGCAGATTTGGGATCTATGGGGCAGGGGGTGCCTAAGCTGTCCCTATAGAGCAGAGGGATCTATGGGGCAGACCCGGATCTATGGGGCGGATTTGGGATCTATGGGGCGGATTTGGGATCTATGGGGCGGATTTGGGATCTGTGGGGCGGATTTGGGATCTATGGGGCAGACCCGGATCTATGGGGCAGGGGGTGCCTATGCTGTTCCTATAGAGCACAGGGATCTATGGGGCGGATCTATGGGGCAGATTTGGGATCTATGGGGCGGATTTGGGATCTATGGGGTGGATCTATAGGGCAGACCCGGATCTATGGGGCAGGGGGTGCCTAAACTGTTCCTATAGAGCAGGCGGATCTATGGGGTGGATCTATGGGGCAGACCCGGATCTATGGGGCAGATTTGGGATCTATGGGGCAGACCCGGATCTATGGGGCAGGACGGGATCTATGGGGCCGGCGGATCTATGGGGCAGGGTGTGCCTAAGCTGTTCCTATAGAGCAGGCGGATCTATGGGGCGGATTTGGGATCTATGGGGTAGACCCGAATCTATGGGGCAGATTTGGGATCTATGGGGCGGATCTATGGGGCAGGGTCCCCAGCTGTACTGTAGGGTCCATATAGAGCAGGCGGATCTATGGGGCGGATCCGAATCTATGGGGCAGACCCGGATCTATGGGGCAGATTTGGGATCTGTGGGGTGGATTTGGGATATATGGGGCAGACCCGTATCTATGGGGCGGGATTTGGGATCTATGGGGCAGATTTGGGATCTATGGGGCGGGATTTGGGATCTATGGGGCAGATTTGGAAACTATGGGGCAGATTTAGGATCTGTGGGGCGGATTTGGGATCTATGGGGCGGATTTGGGATCTGTGGGGCAGGGTTGGGATCTGTGGGGCGGATTTGGGATCTATGGGGCGGATTTGGGATCTATGGGGCAGATTTGGGATCTGTGGGGCAGACCCGGATCTATAGGGCAGACCCGGATCTATGGGGCGGATCTATGGGGCAGGGGTCCCCAGCTGTACTGTAGGGTCCCTATAGAGCAGGGGGATCTATAGGGCAGGGGTGGATCTATGGGGCGGATTTGGGATCTATGGGGCAGACCCGGATCTATGGGGCGGATTTGGGATCTATGGGGCAGACCCGGATCTATGGGGCAGGGGGTGCCTATGCTGTTCCTATAGAGCACAGGGATCTATGGGGCGGATCTCTGGGGCAGACCCGGATCTATGGGGCGGATCTATGGGGCGGATCTATGGGGCAGGGATCCCCAGCTGTACTGTAGGGTCCCTATAGAGCAGGCGGATCTATGGGGCGGGACGGGATCTATAGGGCAGACCTGGATCTATGGGGCGGGGATGGATCTATGGGGCAGGGGTGCCTAAGCTGCACTGTAGGGTCCCTATAGAGCAGGGGGATCTATGGGGCGGATCTATGGGGCGGATCTATGGGGCAGATTTGGGATCTATGGGGCCGGCGGATCTATGGGGCAGGGGTGCCTAAGCTGTTCCTATAGAGCAGGTGGATCTGTGGGGCAGATTTGGGATCTATGGGGTGGATCTATGGGGCAGATTTGGGATCTGTGGTGCGGATCTATGGGGCAGGATCGGGATCTATGGGGCGGATCTATGGGGCAGATCTATGGGGCAGGGGTCCCCAGCTGTACTGTAGGGTCCCTATAGAGCAGGGGGATCTATGGGGCAGGGGTGGATCTATGGGGCGGATTTGGGATCTATGGGGCGGACCCGGATCTATGGGGCAGACCCGGATCTATGGGGCAGATTTGGGATCTCTGGGGCGGATTTGGGATCTATGGGGCAGGGGGTGCCTAAGCTGTTCCTATAGAGCAGGGGGATCTATGGGGCGGATCTATGGGGCAGACCCGGATCTATGGGGCAGGGGTGCCTAAGCTGTTCCTATAGAGCAGGCGGATCTATGGGGCGGATCTATGGGGCAGGGTTGGGATCTATGGGGCGGATTTGGGATCTATGGGGCGGATCTATGGGGCAGGGGTGCCTAAGCTGTACTGTAGGGTCCCTATAGAGCAGGGGGATCTATGGGGCGGATCTATGGGGCAGACCCGGATCTATGGGGCAGGGGTGCCTATGCTGTTCCTATAGAGCAGGGGGATCTATGGGGCAGACCCGGATCTATGGGGCGGGATTTGGGATCTATGGGGCAGATTTGGGATCTGTGGGGCGGATCTATGGGGCAGATTTGGGATCTATGGGGTGGATCTATGGGGCGGATCTATGGGGCAGGGGTGCCCAGCTGTACTGTAGGGTCCATATAGAGCAGGGGGATCTATGGGGCAGGGATGGCTCTGTGGGGCAGGATTTGGGATCTATGGGGCAGGCGGATCTATAGGGCAGACCCGGATCTATGGGGCAGGGGGTGCCTATGCTGTTCCTATAGAGCAGGCGGATCTGTGGGGCGGATCTATGGGGCGGATCTATGGGGCAGACCCGGATCTATGGGGTTTTCTATGGGGCAGAGACCCCCTATAGGATTTTCTATGGGTCCGAGCGGTTTCTATGGGGCAGAAACCCCCTATAGGATTTTCTATGGGGCAGAGACTCCCTATGGGACCGAGTGGCCCCTATAGGATTTTCTATGGGTCCGAGTGACCCCTATGGGATTCTCTATGGGGCAGAGGGGTTTCTATGGGTCCGAGTGACCCCTATGGGATTTTCTATGGGGCAGAGGCTCCCTATGGGTCCGGAAGGTCCCTATGGGGTTTTCTATGGGTCTGAGTGGTTTCTATGGGGCAGGACGCCCCCTATAGGACTTTCTATGGGGCAGGAGGTTCTTTATGGGGTTTTCTATGGGGCAGAAGATTTTCTATGGGGCAGAAGATTTTCTATGGGGCAAAGTGAATTCTATGGGGTTTTCTATGGGGCAGAGACCCCCTATAGCAATTTCTATGGGGCAGAAGGGGGTCACACCCCTTTAGCCCCTCCCCCTTCCTAACCCCGCCCCCTTTTTCTCTCGCCCCTCCCCCAGCCCGCCCCTCCCCCCCCTCCGTTTCCCCATTGGCCGGTTGCGGCCCCGCCCCTTCCGCCATTGGCTGCCTGGCCAGCGGCTTCTTCCCAAGCCCCGCCCACTTCTCCTGGAGCCCCGCCCCCTCCCCAGGCCCCGCCCCCCTCCCCCAAATTTCCAGCCAATCGCGGCTCTCCCTGGCCGGAAGTTGGCTCCGCCTCCCGGAAGCTTCCGGAAGTGACGTCATCTTCCGGTGCCGCGTCCGGCACGCGCCGAGCGGCGCCGACGTCGCCGTCGACGTCAGACGTGAGTTTGGGGGGGACTTCCGGTGGGGTGGGGGGGTTGGGTGAACAAATTTTGGGGATTTTGGGTCTTGATTTGATCAAATTTTGGGATTTTGGGTCTTTACTCAATGAAAATTTGGGATTTTGGGGTGTCAAATTGACCAAATTTGGGGTTTTAGGTCTTGATTCGATCAAATTTTGGGTTTTTTGGGGTTTTTGGGGTCTCCAGTTGGGTTTGGGGTCTTGGATTGACGAAATTTTGGGGTTTTGGGTCTTTATTAGATCAAATTTTGGGTTTTTTGGGATTTTGGGTCTTTATTTGATCAAAATTTGGGATTTTGGGTCTTTATTTGACCAAATTTTGGGTTTTTTGGGATTTTGGGGTCTCCAGTTGGGTTTGGGGTCTTGGGTTGACCAAATTTTGGGATTTTGGGTCTCGATTTGACCAAATTTTGGGGTTTTGGGTCTCGATTTGAGCAAATTTTGGGATTTTGGGTCTTGATTTGACCAAATTTTGGGATTTTGGGTCTTTATTCGATCAAAATTTGGGTTTTTTTGGGTTTTGGGTCTTGATTTGACCAAATTTTGGGATTTTTTGGGTTTTTGGGGTTTTTAGGATGTTCCAGTTGGGGTTTGGGGTCTTCATTTGACCAAATTTTGGAGTTTTGGGGTCTCCAGTTGGGTTTTGGGTCTTCCGGTTGGGTTGGGGGGTTGGGGTGGCCAAATTTTGGGATTTTGGGTCTCGATTTGACCAAATTTTGGGTTTTTTTGGGTTTTGGGGTCTTGATTTGATCAAATTTTGGGATTTTGGGTCTTGATTTGATCAAAATTTGGGATTTGGGGGTTCCAGTTGGGTTTGGGGTCTTGATTTGATCAAATTTTGGGATTTTTGGGGTTTTGGGATCTTCCAGTTGGGTTTTGGGTCTTGGATTGACCAAATTTTGGGGATTTTGGGGTCTCAAAATGACCAAATTTGGGGTTTTCGGTCTTGGTTTGATCAAATTTTGGAGTTTTTGGGTCTTGATTTGACCAAATTTTGGGTTTTTTGGGATTTTTGGGATCTCCAGTTGGGTTTGGGCCACTTCCGGTTGGGGTTGGGGGCTTGGGGTGACCAAATTTTGGGATTTTGGGTCTTGATTTGATCAAATTTTGGGTTTTTGGGTCTTTATTTGATCAAATTTTGGGATTTTGGGTCTTGGTTTGACGAAAATTTGGGATTTTGGGTCTTGGATTGATCAAAATTTGGGGTTTTGGAGTTTTGGGAACTTCCGGTTGGGGTTGGGGGGTTGGGTTGGACAAATTTTGGGATTTTGGGTCTTGATTCGATCAAATTTTGGGGTTTTGGGTCTTGATTTGATGAAATTTGGGGATTTTGGGTCTCGATTCGATGAAAATTTTGGGTTTTGGGTCTTGATTTGATCAAATTTTGGGATTTGGGGTCTCGATTTGACCAAATTTTGGGGTTTTGGGTCTCGATTCGATGAAAATTTGGGGTTTTGGGTCTTGATTTGATCAAATTTTGGGATTTTTGGAGTTTTGGGGTCTTCAAGATCCTCCAGTTGGGTTTGGGGTCTTGATTTGACCAAATTTTGGGTTTTTTGGGATTTTGGGTCTTGATTTGACCAAATTTTGGGATTTTTGAGGTCTCCAGTTGGGTTTGAGATCTTCTGGTTGAGTTTTGGGACTTCCGGTGGGGTTTGGGGTCTTGGGGTGACCAAATTTTGGGATTTTGGGTCTTTATTTGATCAAATTTTGGGATTTTTGTGGTTTTTGGGGTCTTTGGGGTCTCCAGTTGGGTTTTGGGGTCTCCAGTTGGGTTTGGGGTCTTGGGGTGACCAAATTTTGGGATTTTGGGTCTTTATTCGATGAAATTTTGGGATTTTGGCTCTTCATTTGGTCAAATTTTGTGGTTTTGGGGATTTTTGGGGTTTTTGGGGTCTTTGGGGTCTCCAGTTGGGTTTGGGGTCTTGGGTTGACCAAATTTTGGGGTTTTGGGTCTTGATTTGACCAAATTTTGGGATTTTGGGTCTTGAGTTGATCAAATTTTGAGGTTTTGGGTCTTTATTTGATCAAATTTGGGGTTTTGGGTCTTGAGTTGATCAAATTTTGGGATTTTTGGGGTTTTGGGGTCTTCCAGTTGGGTTTGGGGTCTCCAACCTTGAGGTTCTCCAAAATTTCTGAGATTTTTCCCAAAATTCTTGAGGTTCTCCAAAATTCTTGAGATCCTCCAAAATCTTTGAAATTCTCCAAAATTCTCAAATTTTCTCCAAAATTTTGGAGATTTTCCCAAATTTTTGAGGTTCTTCAAAATTTTGACATTCTCCAACCTCGAGGTTCTCAAAAATTCTTGAAATCCTCCAAAATTTTGGAGATTCTCCAAAATTCTTGAGATTTTCCAAAATTCTTGAGGTTCTCCACAATTTTTCGGAGTTTCTTCAAAATTATTGAAATTCTCCAAAATTTTTTGGAGTTTCTCCAAAATTTTGAGGTTCTCCAGCTTTGAGGTTCCTCAAAATTCTTGAGAATCTCCAGAATTCTTGAAGTTCCCCAAAAATTCTTAAATTTCTCCCAAAGTTCTTGAGATTTTCCAAAATTTTGGAGATTTTCCCAAATTCTTGAGGTTCTCCAACCTCGAGGTTCTCCAAAATGTTGGAGATCCTCCAAAATTTTATTAAGGTCTCCAAAATTCTTGAAATTTTCCAAAATTTGTTTAGTTTCTCCAAAATTTTGGAGATTTTCCAAAATTCTTGAGGTTCTCCACAATTTTTTGGAGATTTTCCAAAAGTCTTGAAATTCTTCACAATTTTTTGGAGTTTCTCCAAAATTTTGAAGTTCTCCAACCTCGATTTTCCTCAAAATTCTTGAAATTCTCCAAAATTTTGGAGATGTTCCAAAAATTTTGAGGTTCTCCACAATTTTTTGGAGTTTCTCCAAAATTTTGAGGTTCTCCAACCTCGAGGTTCTTCAAAGTTCTTGAGATCCTCCAAAATTTTTTGAAATCCTCCAAAATTCTTGAAGTTCTCCAAAATTCTTGAAGTTCTTCAAGATTTTTGAGGTTCTCCAACCTCGAGCTTCTCAAAAATTCTCAAAATTCTCCAAAATTTTCTGAGATTCTCCAAAATTTTGGAGATTTTCCAAAATTCTTGAAATTCCCCCAAATTTTTGGAGTTCCTCCGAGATTTTGGAGCTTCTCCACCTTTCCCGACCTTCTCAAGCCCCCCGAGCTCCTCCGCGCTCCTCCACCACCAACCTCGGCCCCTCCCCCACCGCCGCCGCCGCCGCCCCAGGTAGGTCCTGACCCCTCCCCCACCCCAAAATTTGGGATTTTGGGGGCGTGGTCTCCACAGAAATCCCAAAACCCCAAAATTTCCACCCAAAATTCGGCGTTTCCACAAAATGGCGGAGGAACCTCTGAGGACCTTCAGGAACTTGGAGGTTCTCCAAAATTTTTGGAGTTTTTCCAAAATTTTGGAGGTTCTCGAAGGTTCTGGAGGTTCTTCAACCTCGAGGTTCCTCAAAGTTCTTGAGGTTCTTCAAAATTTTGGGGATTTTTCCCAAAATTTTTGAGGTTCTTCAAGATTTTTGGGGTTCTCCAACCTCCAGGTTCTCCAAAAGTTTGGAGATTCTCCAAAACTCTTGAAATCCTCCAAATTTCTAGAAATTCTTCACAATTTTTTGGAGTTTCTCCAAAATTTTCGAAGTTCTCCAACTTTGAGGTTCCTCAAAATTCTTGAAATTCTCCAAAATCTTTTGAAGTTCTCCAAAATTCTCGAGTTTCTCCCAAAAATTTTGAGGTTCTCCAAGATTTTGGAGGTTCTCCAAAATTCTCGAAATTTTCCAAAATTTTTTGAGATTCTCCAAAATTCTTGGGATTCTCCACAATATTTTGGAGTTTCTCCAAATTTTGAGGTTCTCCAACCTCGAGGTTCTCCAAAATTTCGGAGATTTTTCCAAAATTCTTGAGGTTCTCCAAAATTTTTTGTGATTCTCCAAAATTCCAAAAATTCTCCACAATTTTTTGGACTTTCTCCCAAATTTTGAGGTTCTCCAACCTCGAGGTTCTCCAAAATTTTGGAGATCCTCCAAAATCCTCCAAAATTCTCAAGTTTCTCTAAATTTTTGAGGTTCTCCAACCTCGAGGTTCTCCATCTTCGAACTTCTCCAAAATTCCAAAAATCCCCCAAAACTCCTGAAATTCTTCAAAATTTTTTAAATTTCTCCAAAATTTTGAGGTTCTCCAACCTCCACATCCTCCAAAACCCTCCGGGTGGAGTCCCCACAATGTCCCCTTCCCATGACCTCCCCATGACCTCCCCGTGACCTCACCATGACCTCAATGACCTCACCATGACCTCTCCCACAGCGCGACCCCCTCGACCTCCGCGACCTCCGACCGTCGACGTTTTCCACTCCTGCCCCGCCCCCGACCTGGTGGAGCTTCTCTGTTTGGTCACCACCTTCTCCCCTCCCCCGGTGAGCGTCGATTGGCTGAGAGACGGATCCAAGATGGCCGCCGGCCACGCCCACACCGAACCGGCCGCGCCCGACGTCGTTTCCGGAACGTTCCGGACGGTTTCGCGCCTCAACGTCTCGGTGGAGGAGTGGAGGGACGAGGTCTTCTCCTGCCGGGCCACCCACGGGGCCACCGGGGCCGAGGTGGAGGCGACGGTCGGGAGATGCGCCGGTGAGGAGGAGTTTGGGGGTTTTGGGGTCTTGGGGTGACCAAATTTTGGGGTTTGGGTCTTGATTTGATCAAATTTTGGGATTTTGGGTCTTGGGTTGACAAAATTTTGGGGTTTTGAGTGTTTGGTTGACCAAATTTTGGGATTTTGGGTCTTTATTTGACAAAATTTTGGAGTTTTGGGGTCTTAAAGATCTTCCAGTTGGGTTTTGGGTCTTGATTTGATCAAATTTTGGGATTTTTGGGGTTTTTGGGGTCTTTGGGATCTTCCAGTTGGGGTTTGGGTTTTCCGGTTGGGTTTTGGGTCTTGATTTGACCAAATTTTGGGATTTTTGGGGTCTCCAGTTGGGTTTTGGTGGTTCCAGTTGGGTTTGGGGTCTTTGGTTGACCAAATTTTGGGGTTTTGGATCTCAATTTGACCAAATTTTGGAGTTTTGGGGTTTTGGGATCTCCAGTTGGGGTTTGGGGTCTTTGGTTGACCAAATTTTGGGATTTTGGGTCTTTGCTTGACCAAATTTGGGGTTGTTGGGGTCTTTGAGATCTTCCAATTGGGTTCTGGGTCTTCCAGTTGGGTTTGGGGTCTTGAGTTGGACAAATTTTGGGATTTTGGGTCTTGGATTGACCAAATTTTGGATTTTTGGGGTCTCCAATTGGGGTTGGGGTCTTTGGTTGACCAAATTTTGGGGATTTGGGATTTTTGGGGTCTTCTGGTTGGGTTTGGGTCTTGATTTGACCAAAGTTTGGGATTTTTTGGGTTTTGGGGTCTCCAGTTGGGTTTTGGGTTTTTCGTTGACCAAATTTTGGGATTTTGGGTCTTGATTTGACCAAATATTGGGGTTTTGGGTCTTTGGTTGACCAAATTTTGGGGTTTTGCATCTCAATTTGACGAAATTTTGGGGGTTTTGGGGTCTTCAAGATCCTCCAGTTGGGTTTGGGGTCTTTGGTTGACCAAATTTTGGGGTTTGGGGTCTTGGGTTGACCAAATTTGGGGTTTTGGGTCCTGATTTGACCAAATTTTGGGATTTTGGGTCTTGATTTGACCAAATTTTGGAGTTTTGGGGTCTCCAGTTGGGTTTTGGGGTCATTGGTTGACCAAATTTTGGGTTTTGGGTCTTGGATTGACCAAATTTTGGAGTTTTGGGGCCTTTGAGATCTTCCAGTTGGGTTTCGGGTCTTGGATTGACCAAATTTTGGGATTTTGGGTCTTTATTCAATCAAATTTTGGAGTTTTGGGGTCTCCAGTTGGGTTTGGGGTCTTGGATTGACAAAATTTGGGGTTTTGGGGTCTTGATTAGATCAAATTTTGGGTTTTGGGTCTTGATTCGACCAAATTTTGGGATTTTGGGTCTTTGGTTGACCAAATTTTGGGATTTTGGGGTCTTTGAGATCTTCCAGTTGGGTTTTGGGGTCTCCAGTTGGGTTTTGGGTCTTGGATTGACCAAATTTTGGGGTTTTTGGGGTCTTCAAGATCTTCCAGTTGGGTTTGGGGTCTTCCAGTTGGGTTTGGGGTCTCCAGTTGGGTTTTGGGTCTTGATTTGGTCAAATTTTGGGGTTTGGGGTCTTGGATTGGCCAAATTTTGGGGTTTTTGAGATTTTTGGGGTGTCCAGTTGGGTTTGGGGTCTTGATTTGACCAAATTTTGGGGGTTTAGGATTTTTGGGGTCTCCAATTGGGTTTCAGGTCTTTGGTTGACCAAATTTTGGGTTTTTGGGGTCTTCAAGATCCTCCAGTTGGGTTTTGGATCTTGGATTGAACAAATTTGGGTTTTGGGGTCTCTGGTTGACCAAATTTGGGGTTTTGGGTCTCGATTTGACCAAATTTTGGAGTTTTGGGGTTTTTTGGGTCTCCAGATGGGTTTGGGATCTTCCAGTTGGGTTTGGGGTCTTTGGTTGACCAAATTTTGGGGGTTTTGGGGTCTCCACTTGGATTTTTGGTCTCCAGTTGGGTTTTGGGGTCTTCCAGTTGAGTTTTGGGTCTCCAGTTGGGTTTTGGGTCTTTGGTTGACCAAATTTGGGATTTTGGGTCTTGATTTGACCAAATTTTGGGGTTTTGCATCTCAATTTGATGAAATTTTGGGAGTTTTGGGGTCTCCAGTTGGGTTTGGGGTCTTTGGTTGACCAAATTTGGGGATTTTGGGGTCTTGATTTGATCAAATTTTGGGATTTTGGGTCTTGATTTGACCAAATTTTGGGTTTTGGGTGTTTGGTTGACCAAATTTTGGGGGTTTTGAGGGTTTTTGGGGTCTCCAGTTGGGTTTTGGGGTCTTTGGTTGGGTTTGGAGTCTTGGATTGACCAAATTTGGGTTTTTGAGGTCTTCGAGATCCTCCAGTTGGGTTTGGGATCTTAATTTGGTCAAATTTTGGGTTTTGGGTCTTGGGTTGACCAAATTTGGGGTTTTTGGGGTCTTCAAGATCCTCCAGTTGAGTTTTGGGTCTTGGATTGGACAAATTTTGGGATTTTGGGTCTTGATTCGATCAAAATTGGGGGTTTTTGGATTTTTGGGGTCTCCAGTTGGGTTTGGGGTCTTCCAGTTGGGTTTGGGGTCTTTGGTTGACCAAATTTTGGAGTTTTGGGGTCTCCAGTTGGGTTCTGGATCTTCCAGTTGGGTTTTGGGTCTTTATTTGATCAAAATTTGGGGTTTTGGGTTTTGATTTGATCAAATTTGGAACTTTTGGGGTCTTTGGGGTCTCCAGTTGGGTTTGGGTCTTAATTTGGTCAAATTTGGGATTTTGGGTCTTGATTTGATCAAATTTTGGGATTTTTGGGGTCTCCAGTTGGAATTTTGGTCTTCCAGTTGGGTTTTGGGGCCTTTGGTTGACCAAATTTTGGGATTTTGGGTCTTGGATTGACCAAATTTGGAGTTTTTGGGATTTTTTGGGTCTCCAGTTGGGTTTTGGGGTCTTTGAGATTGTCCAACCCAACCCAACCCAACTTTTGGACCTTCTCCAACCCAACTCAACTCAACCATGACCAACCCAACCCAACCCAACCCAACTCAACCCAACCCAACCCAACCCAACTCAACCCAACTCAACAAACTCAACTCAACTCAACTCAACTCAACCTCTCCCACTTTAGGCTCCACCTCCGCCTCCATCTCCATCTTCACCATCCCCCCATCCCCGTCCGACCTCTACATCACCCAAACGCCCAAAATTCGCTGTCTGGTGACGAACCTGCCGAGCAACGACGGCCTCAGCGTCACCTGGAGCCGCGACGGCGCCGATTTCGGCAAATTGGCTCAACCCCTCCCCCTCCAATTGAGCCAAAACTTCAACGGGACGTTAACGGCCGTCAGCGAACTCCCGGTGAGCGTCGGCGACTGGGAGAGCGGCGCCGCCTTCGTGTGCCGGGTCGGACACGCCGAGCTGCCGGCGCCGGCGGAGCGGCGCGTGGAGAGGAGGCCGGGTAGGAAGGGGTTAAACGGGGGGTTTTTGGGGGGTTTGGGGAAAATTTTGGGGTTTTTTAGGGAAAATTTGGGGTTTTTAGGTGAAAAAATGGGGTTTTTAGGGGAAAATTCGGCAAAAAATTTGGGTTTTTTTTGGAGTAAAAGTTAGGCAGATTTGGATGGTTTTTACAGCAAAAATTAAGATTTTTTTATGGCAAAAAAATGCCAAAAAATCGATATTTTTACAGCAAAAAATTCAATGTTTTTACGTCAAATATTGCCAAAAAATTTGATTTTTTTTACAACAAAAATTCCCAAAAGTTCGATTTTTTTGACGCCAAAAAATGCCCAAAATTTTGATATTTTTTACATGAAAAATTCGATTTTTTAATGGCAAAAATTCCCCAACTTTCGAATTTTTTTTACACCAAAAATTCCCAAAAAATTCGAATTTTTTACGGCAAAAATTGCCAAAAATTCTATTTTTTTTTGCAGTAAAAGTTCCGCAAATTTGGATGTTTTTACAACACAAATTCAATTTTTTAATGCCAAAAATTAAAAAAAAAATTCGATTTTTCGCTATCAAAAATTGCCAAAATTTCGATATTTTTACACCAAATATTTAGATTTTTTTTTTACATCAAAAATTCTGATTTCTTTAACGCCAAAATTTTGGTATTTTTTTACAGCAAAAATTTCGATATTATAACGCCAAAAATTCCCCAAAAATGTGATTTTTTTTTTAAATCAGAAGTTCCACAAGTTTTTGATTTCTTTACGCCAAAAATTCCCAAAGTTTGATTTTTTTACACCAAAATTTGAGTTTTTTACGGCAAAAATTGCCAAAAAATTTGATTTTTTTTTACAGCTAAAAATTCCTCAAAAATTCCATTTTTGTACATCAAAAAATTCCTCAAAATTTCAATTTTTTTCCCAAATTTTCCTCAATTTTTCAAAAGTTTCCTCAATTTTTTCCCCATTTTCCCCCAAATTTTTCCTTCCATTTCTCCCCCATTTCTTCCCCATTTTGTGCCATTTTTTCATCATTTTTTCACCAAATTTCGTCCGATTTTCATCAAATTTTCACCCAATTTTCACCCAATTTTCGCCCAATTTTTCTCAATTTCCCAATTTTCCCCAATTTTTCCCATTTCCCCCCCAAATTTCCTTATTGATCCTCCCCATTTCCCTCTCATTTTTCCCCCCATTTTCCGCCATTTTTTCCTCATTTTTTCGTCGTTTTTTCACCAAATTTCGTCCGATTTTCACCGAATTTTCACCGTTTTTTTTTTAATTTTCCCAATTTTTCCCTTTTTCCCAGGAAAACGCTTCCCACCCTCCGTCTTCCTCCTGCCACCCCCCCTGGAGGAACTCTCCTCCTCCCACCCCACGCTCAGCCTGACCTGCCCCAACATCCCCCGCCCGCCCCAATTCCCCCCGAATTTACCCCAAAATTCACCCCAAACTCACCCAAAAATCACCCCAAAAATCACCCCAAAATTAACCCAAATTTTACCCAAATTTTCTCCTTTATCCCCCAAATTTTTCCCCTCCATTTTCTCCCCATTCCTTCCCCATTTTCCGCCATTTTTTCATCATTTTTTCCGCCAAATTTTGCCCGATTTTCGCCCAATTTTCACCCAATTTTCACCCAATTTTCTCCCAAATTTCACCCAAATTTCACCCAATTTTCCTCAAATTTCCTTAAATTTCCTCAAATTCCCCCAAATTTTGCCCAAATTTCCCCCACTTCCCCCCCATTTCCTCCCCATTTTTCGCTCCTTTTTCCCCCATTTCCCGCCCGTTTTTCCTCATTTTTTCGTCATTTTTCCACCAAATTTCGCCCAATTTTCACCAAATTTTTGCCAAATTTCCATAGTTTTCCCCGATCTTTCCCAAATTTTTCCCAAATTTTTCCCAAATTTTCGCCAAATTTTGCCCCATTTTCTCCCCACTTCCCTCTCGTTTCTCCCCCATTTTTCACTCAATTTTCGTCATTTTTTTGTCGTTTTTTCGCCAAATTTTGCCCAATTTTCACCCAATTTTCACCAAAATTCCCGGATTTTTTTAATTTTTCCCGTTTTTTTCCAGGAAAACGCTTCCCACCCTCCGTCTTCCTCCTGCCTCCCCCTCTGGAGGAACTCTCCTCCTCCCGCCCCACGCTCAGCCTGACCTGCCTGGCCCGCGGCTTCTTCCCGGACTCCATCGACGTCCAGTGGCAGAAAAACCAGGAAACCCTCGGGAATTCCGGGGGAATTCCGGGAAATTCCGGGAATTCCGGCCTGGAAACGTGGCCCCCGCGGCGGGAAAAGGGGGGGGAGGGGCGTTACTTCCTCTACAGCCGCCTGGAAGTGGAACGGGAAGAGTGGGAGACGGGCGCGACCTTCGTCTGCACCGTGGTGCACGAGGGGCTGCCCATGCGCTTCCTGCAGCGCAGCGTGCACAGAAACCCCGGTAATTAGCCTAATTGGTGTTAATTAGATAATTAAAGGTGGATCGTCAGCGAAAACCGGAGTTTTTTTGGTGAAAAAATGGGGATTTTAGGGCGAAAAATGGGATTTTTACGTCGAAAAATGGGATTTTTACGGGCGTTTTTTGGGTTTTCGAGACGCTTTGGTGGTAAAACCATGCTAATTAGGTTAATTAGTCTTAATTAGTTGGTAATTAGTCTATTAAAAGTGGTTTATTGGCGAAAATTTGGGGTGTTTTGGAGAAAATTTGGGATTTTTGGGTGAAATTTGGGATTTTTGGGTCATTTTGAGGAGTTTTGGGTTCTTGACTGGGATTGGTCATAAAAAGGTGGTAATTAGTGGTAATTAGTGGTGATTAGTGGTAATTAGTGGGTAATTAGTCAATGAAAAGTGGTTTATTGGTGAAAATTTGGGGTTTTTTGGGGAAAAATTGGGATTTTGGCTCATTAATTAAAGGATTTGGGGTCGTTAATTAACGTCGAGTTCGGCGCTCTCAGCTCAGTTCCCCTCATTAAAAACCCCCTTAATTAACCTAATTACCCCTAATTAACCCCTCCAACTCCATCAACCCCTCGCTCAGGACGGGTAATTAGCGGTGGGGGCGGTTCCGGGCTCGTTAATTAAGGGCTGAGGGCGTTAATTAACCCGGAAGTGGGACGGGAAGAGCGGTGCACGAGGGGCTGCCCATGCGCTTCCTGCAGCGCAGCGTGCACAGAAACCCCGGTAATTAGCGTAATTAGCGTTAATTGGCTCATTAAAGGCGGATCGTCAGCGAAAACCGGAGTTTTTTTGGCGAAAAAATGGGGATTTTAGGGCGAAAAATGGGATTTTTATGGGTGTTTTGTGGGTTTTCACGTTAGTTTGGTCATAAAACCTTGGTAATTAGTCTTAATTAGTCTTAATTAGTCTTAATTAGTTGGTGTTAGTTGGTAATTAGTCTATTAAAAGGGGTTTATTGGCGAAAATTTGGGGTTTTTTGGGGAAAATTTGGGATTATTGGGAAAAATTGGGATTTTGGGATCGTTTCGAGGGGTTTTGGGTTCTGGGCTGGGATTGGTCATAAAACCATCATAATTAGTGGGTAATTAGCGGTAATTAGTGGTAATTAGTCATAATTGGTTGGTAATTAGTCTATTAGAAGTGGTTTATTGGCGAAAATTTGGGGTTTTTTGGGGAAAATTTGGGATTTTTTGGGTGAAATTTGGGAATTTTGGGGCGTTTTGAGGGGTTTTGGTTTCTTGACTGGGATTGGTCCTAAAACTGTGGTAATTAATGGGTAATTAGTGGTAATTAGTGGTGATTACTGTTAATCAGTGGGTAATTAGTCAATTAAAGGTGATTTTTGGGTGGATTTTGGTGATTTTTTGGGAAAAATTGGGATTTTGGGACGTTAATTAAACGTCAGTTTCCCCCATTAAAAACCCCCTTAAATAACCAAATTACCCCTAATTAACCTAATTACCCCTAATTAATTAACCTAATTACCCCTAATTAACCCCTCAGACTCAATCAACCCCTTGGTCAGGACGGGAAAATGGGGAAAATGGGGGAAAATAGGAAAAAATGGGAAAAATTTGGGATAAAATGGACAAAAATGGGGGGAAATGGGAAAAAATGGGAAAATGGGAAAAAATGGGGGAAAATGGGGAAAAGTTTGGGGAAATGAGGAAAAAGGGGAAAATGGGGAAATTGGGGGGAAATGGGAAAAAATGGGGAAAAATTGGGATAAAATGGCCAAAATTGGGGGGAAATGGTGGAAAATGGGGGGAAATGGGGAAAAATGGGGAAAATTGGAAAAATTGGGAAAAAATGGGGGAAATTGGAAAAAAGTGGGAAAAATTTGGGGAAATGGGGAAAAAATTGGGGAAATGGGGAAAAAATGGGGAAAATGGGGAAAAAATGGGGGAAAATTGGGAAAAAATGGGAAAATGGGGCAAAATGGGAAAAATGGGGGAAAATGGTGAAATATTGGGAAAAATGGGGGAAAATGAGGAAAAATGGGGGAAAATGAAGGAAAATGAGGGAAAATGGGAAAAATTTGGGAAAATGGGAAAAATTTGGGAAAATGGGAAAAAATGGGAAAAAATGGGAGAAATTGGGGAAATGGGAAAAAATGGGGGGAAATTGGGATAAAATGGCCAAAATTGGGGAAAAATGGTGGAAAATGGGGGAAAATGGGCAAAAAATTGGGAAAATTGAAAAAATTGGGGGAAAAAATGGGGAAATTGGCAAAAAATGGGGTGAAATGGGAAAATTGGGGGAAAAATGGGGGGAAATGGGGGAAAATTGGGAAAAATGGGGAAAAATTGGGGTAAAATGGGAAAAATGGGGAAAATGAGAAAAATGGGGGGAAAAATGGGAAGAAATGGGAAAAAATGTGGAAAATCGGGAAAAAATGGGGAAAATGGAGAAAAATGGGTAAAAATGGGGAAAATATTGGGAAAATTGGGAAAAAATGGGGGAAAATGGGGGAAAATAAGAAAAAATGGGATAAAATGGGAGGAAATGGGAAAATTTTGGGAAAATGGGAAAAAATGGGGGAAAATGCTGAAAAAATGTGCAAAATGGGAAAAAAAATGGGGAAAAAATGGGAAAAATTGGGAAAAAATGGGAAAAAATGGGGAAAATGGAAAAAATGGGGAAAACATGGGGAAAATGGGGAAAAATGGGCAAAATTGGGGAAAAAATGGGCGAAAAATGGGAAAAATTGGGAGAAAATGGGGCAAAAATGGGTAAAACTGGGAAAAAATGGGGGAAAATGGGTTAAACTGGTTTATACTGGTTAGAACTGGGATTTTGGGGCTGGGAGAGCAGCTGGAGGCACCAAAATGGGGAAAAATTGGGGAAAATGGGAAAAAATGGGAAAAAATGGGGGGAAATGGGAAAAAGTGGGAGAAAATTGTAAAAAATGGGAAAAAATTGGGAAAAATGAGAAAAAATGGGGGAAAATGGGGGGAAATGGGGAAAATGGGGAAAATTTGGGATAAAATGGGAAAAATGGGTGAAAATGGGGGAAAACTGGGAAAAAAAAGGGAAAATGGGAAAACATGGGGAAAAATGGGGGAAAATTAAGAGAAAATGGGGCAAAAATGGGGAAAATGGGGAAAAATTGGGAAAAATGGGGGAAATTGGGGGGAAAATGGGGGGAAATGGGTTAAACTGGTTTATACTGGTTTGGACTGGTTTATACTGGGAATTTGTGGCTGCTGGAGGCACCAAAAATGGGGAAAAAATTGGGGAAAAAATGGGAAAAAATGGGGGAAAATGAGAAAAAAATGGGAAAAAATGGGGGAAATGGGGAAAAAATGGGGGGAAATTGGGGAAAATGGTGGAAAAATGAAGGAAAATTGGAAAAATGGGGGAAAATGGGAAAATGGTTAAAAAATGGGATAAAAATGGGCAAAATTTGGAAAAATGGGGAAAATTGGGGGAAATGGGGAAAAATGGGGGAAAATGGGGGAAAATTGGGCAAAAATGGGAAAAATGGGGAAAAACTGGGAAAAAAATTGGGGAAAATGAGAAAAAATGGGGGGAAAGGGGGGAAATGGTGGGAAAATGGAGACAAATTGGAAAAATGGGGAAAAATGGGGGAAAATGGGGAAAAATGGGGTAAAATGGGAAAATATGGGGAAAAATGGGGGGAAATGGGGGAAAATGGGGAAGAATTGGGATAAAATGGGAAAAATGGGGGGAAATGGGAAAAATGGGGGAAAAATGGGAGGAAATAGGAAAAAATGTGGAAAATCGGGAAAAAATGGGGAAAATGGGGGAAAATGGGGAAAAATGGCTCAAACTGGTTTGAACTGGTTTATACTGGTTTGAACTGGGATTTTGTGGTTGGGAGAGCAACTGGAGGCACCAAAAATGGGGAAAATTGGGAAAAAATGGGGGGAAATTGGGGAAAATGGTGGAAAATGAAGGAAAATTGGAAAAAATGGGAAAAAATGGGGAAAATTGAGAAAATGGGGGAAAAATGGGAAAAATTGAGAAAATTGGGGAAAATGGGGGAAAACAGGGGAAAAAAGGGAAAAATTGGGAAAAACTGGGAAAAACGGGGAAAAAATGGGGGAAAATGCTGAAAAAATGTGGGAAATGGGAAAAAAATGGGGAAAAAATGGGAAAAATGGGAAAAATGGGAAAAATGGGGGAAAATGGGGGAAAATGGGGCAAAAATCGGGAAAATGGGTAAAACTGGGAAAAAATGGGTTAAACTGGTTTATACTGGTTTGAACTGGGATTTTGTGGCTGGGAGAGCAGCTGGAGGCACCAAAAATGGGGGAAAATTGTGGAAAAAATCGGAAAAAATTGGAAAAAAATAGGAAAAAATGGGGGAAAAAATGGGAAAAAAATGGGATAAAATGGTGGAAAATGGCTCAAACTGCTTTGAACTGGTTTATACTGGTTTGAACTGGTTTATACTGGTTTGAACTGGGATTTTGGCACTGGGAGAGCAACTGGGAGCACAAAAATGGGGAAAATTGGGAAAAAATGGGGGGAAATGGGGAAAATGGGGAAAAATTGGGAAAAAATGGGAAAAATGGGACAAAAATGGGAAAAATTGGGGAAAATGGGGAAAAAATGGGGGGAAAATGGGGGAAAATGGGGGAAAATGGAGACAAATTGGAAAAATGGGAAAAAATGGGGGAAAAATTTGGATAAAATGGTCAAAATTGGGGGGAAATGGGGAAAATTGGGGAAAATTGGAAAAATTGGGGCAAATTGGGGGAAATTGGAAAAAATGGGAAAAATGAGAAAATATGGGGAAAATGGAAAAAAATGGGGGAAAATGGGGGGAAAATGGAAAAAATTAGGGAAAGTGGCTCAAACTGGTTTGAACTGGTTTGAACTGGTTTGAACTGGGATTTTGGCACTGGGAGAGCTGCTGGAGGCACAAAAATGGGGAAAAAAATTGGGAAAAATGGGAAAAATGGGAAAAAATGGGGGAAATTGGGAAAAAATGGGAAAGAATGGGAAAAAATGGGAGAAAATTATAAAAAATGGGAAAAATTGAGAAAAATGAGAAAAAAATGGGGGAAAA